TTGACAGAATGGAGTGCAAGTTCCTTACTCTCACACCCAAGGCCCTCCCTGGTCTGACCCCCAACCCACTAACCTCAGCTTTCCTACAGTCACCACATCACCACACCATCATCTTCCCCGGGCCACCACAAGGGTTTACACAGGCTGGGAGCTGCACAGCTTCCTTCAGGGACGCTACTCACACTGTCGTCACAACCTGCACTGCCTACATGGAGGCCCTTTGTGTAACCCCCGGTCAAGTTAAACTTCTATCTACCAGTTATTCCACATCACCCTCAGAGCCCTTTCTCCAGCTTTCACGGATCCCTGAATTTATCCTTAAGAGTCAGTGTATATAAAAAAAAAAGTCAGTGTAAATGCCACCGCTCCCATGAAGCCTACCCTGATCTTCCCACCCTCCTCTGAGACTCCCTCTGTCAGTGGTTTGTAGTCAACTGGGGCACAAGGCTCATTCTGCCCCTCATTCCCACTAGACTGAGTTCCTGAAGATCTGGAACAGAGTCTTCATTATTGTGTCCCCACTGTCACCCTCCAGTACACACAGCCTGGCACTTAGTGGGTGCTGAATGCAGGTTTGTGAACTTGAAGTATGTGCACATATATGATTCTCTGGGGGTGAATTCTCTTTACGTATATGTGTGAATCCCTGTAACTTTGTGTGTGGTTTAAGGCCACACACATAAGCTTATCTTTTATTTATTTCCAGATTTTTTTTACTGTCTCACTCTGACCACCAGGGCATGCTCTTTCTCTGTCTATGCCCCTACAGGATGCTCTGTGTTTGTGTCCCTGAATCAGGACGAGTCTCCCTTTCATCACCAGGGGGCGGTATGCTGCCCACTATGGTGGCTCCCAGTGTTCAGTTTGCCAATTTGTCTGCGTAGGTGGCGTGTGCCTGGTGGCAGGCATCCTGGCAGTGCCAGGCAGAAGGGCCTCCACCACCCTGAGCACTGACTGGAGAGGCTGTCTGTAGGGCCACCTCTTCCCCAAGGTCCCCATCCCAGCCCTGAACAAAGCCTAATTTGTAGGTCTGTGTACAGACAAATGTTGGCCCAGCCAGGCCCACAGACTAGTTTTTGGCTCAAATTCCTTCCTTCGGCTTGGAAGGTGGGGGTGGGGAGGAGAGTCCACTCCCTGCACATCCTTTTCCGGTGCAGAGTAGGCGAGAGCCAAACCTCTCAGGTTTCAGCCCCTCTTCGTACTTCCTTATCTGTGTGGCCTTGGCAAAGTCCTTTTCTCTGAGCCTCAGTTTCTTCATCTGCAAACCGGTAATAAATAATGTCATCTCTCGGGCCGGTTACTAAAGGAGAGACATGTGTAAAAGGCTTGGAAAAGTGCCTGTCCCAAAGCTGTCCTTGCTGTCACAAGTCTGTTATTCTTGTTGCAGGCTGCCACCTAGTTACCAAGATAAGACATCCTGTGGACAGCTTGGGGACCGGGAGAACCTTTCCTAAACGTGGGGGTGGCGGCATACCCAGGCGTCCCCACGCCCAGCTCTGGGAGCCTCTGCCGCTACCTGACCCGTGGTGCCTCTCTCCGCAGTACGTGCATGAGGGCGGAGTGGAGGACCTGGTGAGGCCCCTGCTGGCCATTCTGGACAAGCCCGCAAAGCTGCTGCTGCTGCGGGACATCAGGTGGGAGGGGGGAGTAGGAAGGGGCTTGGGCAGGAAGGGCGCCCCTGATACTGCCCCCAACCTTCTCAGGGCTGAAGCCCCCAGGCAACTCCAGCACTGAGCCCTTGCCCACCCCCATCTGGTCCTCCCCCAGGAGTGTGGTGGCCCCCACAGACCTGGGCCGCTTTGACAGCATGGTGATGCCTGTGGAGCTGGAGGCTTTTGAGGCCCTAAAGAGCCGGGCAGGTCAGCAGCTGGGGGGCGGGTCTTGCGGGTCCTGAACCCCAGGTGGGGGTGCGGGAGGCATATCCCACTGGAAAGGGGGCAGAGCCCTCTCAGCTGTGCCCGTCAGGGAGCCCAGCAGCAGGGCCCTGCTGCTGACCTCTTCTCTCCAACCAGTACGGCCTCCAGCCCTGCGGCCAGCTCGGCAGGACACACCACCCAAGCGTCACCTCGTCACCCCTGTGCCTGGTCAGTCAGAGTCCCAGAGCCCGGGGAGGGGGCACACCCATGGGGGCACTGGGGGGGAGAGCAGGCCCTCTTTGGTCCCTGCGGCAGGGACTGCGGTGCTGCGGTTCAGAGGGGTGTGCGGTGCCCTGAAGGGAAGCCCTCATCCGTCAGAACCTTTCCTGTCACAGCCACCACTGCCATTATTTACCTAATGATCGGTTTTAAACCCACTCCCTTTTTAAATCCAGTCTTCTCATTCTCTGCAATAATCTCCAAGAACTCATCAGCTTGGTGTGTGAGTCATATTTTTTCTTAGATACATTAACACAAAACTCTTACAACAGAAAGTGTTAAACTACTATTGCAGTGGAACATGGGCAGTGCCCCTACAGGCCTGAGCAACCCGGGCCTGGGTCTCCCAGGCCCTACAGGGACAAAGGCAAGGACTGGGGTCTGGCAAGGTGGTCTGGGCTAGTGAGGAGAGGGCGGCCTGACCTTGGCCCTCTTCCCCAGACAGCCGTGGAGGCTTCTACCTGCTGCCTGCGAATGGCTTCCCTGAGGAGGAAGATGATGGGGAGCTGAGGGAGCGGCTGGGGGACCTCCAGGTCTCTCTGGATGCCTCTGCCCCCTGCCACCCTCATAAAGGGATACCCCCTCTCCAGGATGTGCCAGTAGACGCCTTTGCCTCACGCCGAACTACCTGCACACCCCCTCCCCAGCCGCCTCCTGTTGCTCCCCGGCCCCCCAGGCCTAACTGGCTGCTGACAGAACCCCTGTCTCGAGAAGACCCTCTCCAGAGCCAGGGCCAGGGCCAGGACCGGGCCCAGAGCCGCAGCCGCAGCCACAGCCGCAGCCGCAGCCGTGGCCGAGGCAAGTCCCCTGGACGTAGGCGCTCCCCATCCCCGGTGCCTATCCCCAACCCCGGCACAGCCAACGGGCGCTACCACAAGCCTCGGAAGGCCAGGCCCCCTCTGCCACGACCTCTGGATGGGCAGGCAGCCAAGGCAGGGGGCAGTCAAGGCCCCTCTGCGAATGGAACCGGCAGGACAGCCCAGCAAGCAGCCACAAAGGCCCCTCGTGGGGAGTTGAGGACAGTCACGCTGTCCAAGATGAAACAGTCCTTGGGTGAGTCCGAGGGGGGCTGGGCCTGGCGGGGGCTGTGGGGTTTGGATAAGGCTGGTGGGCTTGATGTTGGGATGCGTCTAAGTGAACTAAGCCTAGGAAAAGAACCTGGGTATTAGAGTATGGTTGGGGGTGGGGTCTAGATTTGAGGGCTTTGGGATCCAGAGGATTTTGGAGCAAGTTGAGGATTGAGTAGTGACAGAATTGGGATTTGGAAAAAGTTTTGGGCCCCAGACTTGGTGACTGGGTCCTGGGTCTATCTTGGGACCTCTGGCATTTAGGGGTGTGGTGCACTCTCACCCTGTTTCTCACTCTCACTAGGCATCAGCATCTCGGGGGGCATCGAGTCCAAGGTGCAGCCCATGGTGAAGATAGAAAAGATCTTCCCTGGGGGCGCCGCCTTCCTCAGTGGGGCCCTGCAGGTGGGTGAAGTGCACCCAGGTCCCCTCCCTCAGCCTGGAGTTAATTCCGGCGGGGGCGGCTGGTACACGCGCATCTGCTGGCCGGGCATGTTCAGGCCAGGTCGTGGGAGGAGGGGTCAGGCCTGTGGAATGAGCAAGCCCAGGGGAGAATCTGTCCCCTTGCGCTAGCCTGGGCCTGAGGGTGGCCTGTCCTGTTCCACCCCTTGCCCCAAGGGACAAAGGGCCATTGTCTGGCCCCACCCAGCCCCCAGTAGCTCCAGGCACAGAAGTCCCATTGTCCATCTTCTCCATCCAGACGGGGAGGAGTGTCCCAGCTGGTGGAGGTGAGAAGTCAGATGCTGGAGTAGGGGGTGACCCGAGGAGGGAGGGCTGTGATTCTCCCACTCCCATCCTAGGCTGGCTTCGAGCTGGTGGCAGTGGATGGAGAGAGCCTGGAGCAGGTGACACACCAGCGAGCAGTGGACACCATCCGCCGGGCTTACCGAAACAAGGCTCGGGAGCCCATGGAGCTTGTGGTCAGGGTCCCCGGGCCCAGCCCACCACCCCTGCCCTCTAACTCGTCAGCCCTTGCTGACCAACCCCTTCCTGCTGACCATGCCCCAGCCCGCTAACCCCTTGATGGTACTCCCACGTGTTTCCAGAACCTCTCAGTGCCCTTCCCAATGGGACCCGGACCGCTCCCACTGATGTCGGGCTCCTCCAGCTGATGCCCAGCCTGGTCCCCTCTCCAACCCTCCAGACTCCGGGTTCTAACCCCCGACTCTTCCCACCTACCCCCCAACCTGCCCCGCTGACCCCGCCATCCTTCCACCCTCTCCCAGACCTCACCAGCTCACCTTCTGACTTGGGAACCTCCCACTCCTGCTCGCCTTGCCTCCTCCCAAAGCTCCACCCCGGTGGCTCAGATCTCCCTGCTTTCTTCCCTCCCCAGCTGTCACTAAGGCTCTGCCCTTTCCAGACAAACTTAGGGTCAAGGACAAGGTGCTACTGGGCAGGCAGCCTGTGTCACCCATTCACTGCTTCTCACCTCCCAAGACAGGAAGGGGGTCAAGAAACCCAAGGTCTGCAACTTGGAATTGGCGGGCATTTTCTCCCATCCGCCCTCGATTCTCCCAAGCACTGAAGGACCCAGACTCAGTCACTGCATCCACCACCCAGTCCCAGGCAGTGTGTTCTGTGCAGGGAACACACGTCTCGACTAGTTTCTCAAACCCTGAGAGGCCGCTTCACGCTGTGGCCCAGTAGCCTCAGCTTTCCAGCCGGGTCTGTCCTTTCCCCGTCTCCCTTCTCCCACTCAGACCTCTGCAAGGGGCAGGGGACTGGCCTGCAGATCGAGAGGGGGCGGGGGAGGGTTCCCATAATCTCTACCCAGCACACTCACCTTTTTTTTTAAAAACAGAACAATTTTTTTAAATTTTTTCTTTGGGTTTGTACAACAAATTTACAGTGTAAAAAATATACAAGTGAAAAGCGAGGCCATAAACCAGGGTGTGGGGAGGGGCCATTCAGTCACATTAAACAAGACATTTCTGAGTTCTTCCTTTGGTCTGACTACAGCCCCTCCCAGCTGGGGGAGGCTGCAGAGCTGGAAGCTGGGGGTCAGACCCCAGCCCCAGCCCTGTCCCCCACATGCGAGGGTGGGGGCAGGCACATCTGGAGCCGCTGGTGCTGCCTGGCTCTCTCCAGCTTTGGAGTCGGGGGGTACCCCCTTCCTCTCCCCAGGCCCTGGATGGTTGACCCGGTGAGCGGTGAATGGGGTTGGCAGAGTGGCACTGGCAACAGGTGGGGAGTGAAACGGGTGGAGTGAGTAGGGGCCTCTGGGTGACAATGAACACAGGGACCTCCGAGGGGTCTGATCTTGCTCATCCAAGTCATAGGACAGCCCTGGGTTCTTGATAGAGGCCCAGAGTCCTGGATCCCAGGGGACAAGAGGCTCTGGGGACCTCAGTGGACCTGAGGCTACTGTTCCCTTTCTGTAGAGCTCCCTGTAGAGCTGGGACACCAAGGACCCTAGATTTCGGTGGCAGTGATCTCCTCTAGGCAGATGCAGGGGGCTGGCTCGGCCAGGCCCAGGTCGGCAAGCTCCCGGGCCTCCAGCTCCAGGCTGAGCTGCTGCAGCTCCTGCTCCAGCTGCCGGTTCCGCCGGTACATCTGGATATAGTTGTGCTGCAGCTGCTTCTGGTAGCGGATCACCTGCTCTTTCTCCGCCTGCCAGGCCAGCCGTTCCCCCTCAAAACTGTCCCTCTGCTCCTCGCCCCGCCGCCGCTCCTGCTGCAGCTCAGCCCGCAGCCGCTCCACCTGGGCCCGCAGGCTGCCTCCAACCCCAGCTGCCACACGCTGTGCCTTGGCCTCATCACTCTCTGCCAGGAGGAATGGGTCAGCAGTGGCAGGTGGCACAGGAGGTTCCCGGAGTCCAGCCGCCTCAGTGTCCAACTGCCCAGCTTTCTCCCGCAGCCGCTCAGCCTCCTGGCGGTGCCGCTGCAGCTCCTGGGAACAGGCCTCCAGCTCTAGCTCCCGTGCTCGGGCCGCCTCCTGGAGACCCCGTGCCCAACCCTCACTGACCCGCAGGGCGGCCCGCGCCTCTCGCAGGGCCACCCGCAAGGCCACCAGCTCACTGCCCTTCTGCACCAGCTCTGCCTGAGACTCCTTCAGTTGCTGCTTCAGCAGGGAGATCTCGCCTGACTTCTGGCACACCTGGTGGTGGGAGGGAAAGACGGTGAGAAGAGTTCTCCCAGGGGGTCAGGGCCAGACATCATGCTGGACATTCGGCAGTGATGAAGTTTGATCCTCATACCCATTTTACAGATGGAAGACACCGAGGTGAGCCCAGTGACATGTTCAAGGTCATACAGCTAGTTAGCGGCTAAAGTGGAACTCAGACCCAGATCTTTTTCCTTCCAAGTGCTATTTTTAAACCCCAAAGCTCTGGGGACTGGGTGATGGTGGGTTTTACATGAGTAGAAGCAACAGAGGCCAGTGCCCACATTTCCAGTTGCGAGGCCCTCCAATATTTGGGTTAAAGGTGTAAACAAGGAGTCAGATTGCCTGGGCTCAGATCTCAATTCTGCCACAGACTGCATATAGTTTTGGGCCCCAGCCTTTCTGGGCCTCTGTTTCTGCATCTCTAAAATGGGGGTATTAACAGTACCCACCTCATAGGGCTGATAATGAAGATCAGAGGATTCACGGTCTATGCAACATGCCTAGAATAGTGCCTGGTGCTCAGCAATCACCGCATTCTAATTACTGGCTGGAAGGCAGTTGGATGGGAATGCCACTGGCTACGGGCACTAGACCAGACTAATGAGGAGACCAAACATGAAGGCACAAGGAGGCTCCGTCCCAGGAAGGGAAGTCAGAGGGGGATCCTCATCTCACAAAGGTGAGGAAGCGGAGGACGTCTGGGGGCGGTGGGCTCAGGGGTTATGGCTGGGCCCCTCTTTCTAGGGGTTGTTCCTCCAGGACCCTGCCACTCGCCCCTCCTGGTCTGATTCTGACTTACCTCCCACTTGGTCTCCTCGAGCCGGGGCCCGAGCTCCCGCTGCTCCCGCTCAAAGGTGGCGCAGCGCCGCTCCAGCTGTTCCCGTTCCTGCAGCAACTGCGCAAAGTCGTCCTGCAGCTGCCGCTTCTCCTGCTGCAGCTGGAACACCTGCAGCTGTAGCAGCTGCTGGGCCCGCTGTGCCCGCTGCGCCTGGGCCGCACCATCCTCACGCAGGGCCTCCCGTTCCCGCTGCCAGTGCCGCTGCCGGTCCTCGTACACCTGCGGGCGAGAAGGCAGACTTGGGTCCTGGCAGCTCCGTAAATCTGGAGCCCTAGCCACCTGCTATCACTGCTATCACAGACGACTCTGCTGGCCCACTGGGGGCTTTGGGCAGCTAGAGTCCACTACACTATGATAACAATATGACAATAGTAACAACTACTTCTACAATACTAGAAAACAACAACAATAATAGCAAGCACTTACGTGGCAGTTCTTAGGTGCCGGGCATTAGTCTAAACACTTTACACACTTTGCCTTACTTAATCTGTGTAACTCAAAAGAGACAAAAATATCCCCATTTATAGATGAGGCTCAGTATGAATAAGTAAACGGCAGTAGGTCTGAATCCTCACCTCTCCGCAATTAAGCCAGACGGCTGGGTGGGAATGGCCAAGTACTACTGCCTGCCACTTGCCCCCACCCTGGAACAAAGGGAAATGCTCTCAGATCCCCAGCACCTCTGTATGTCCTGCCATGCCACCCCCGTTATTGCCACTGACCACACCTGGCACATGGTCACCTCGCTCTCGTCCAGACTGTCTCGCAGCTGCTGCAGCTCTGCCTCCCGGTCGCGGAGCTTCCCTTCCAGGACACAGTGCAGCAGGGCCTCATCCGAAGGGGGTGGAGGGGGTGGTGGTGGTGGTGGGGAGCGCTCCCCGCAGGAGCTGTTGTCCGGGGAGGCCCGGGGACCGCTGCCCAAGAGGCCTCCAGCCACGCGGCCCCCCAGGGAGCCTGTGCTCTTGCTGGAGGAAGACCGGCCACTGTCCGAGTGGGAGGGCCCAGTAGGGGCTCCTCGGGCAGGCCCCGGCAGTGCCCCCCGCCCGGGGCCATGGGAGGGCAGGTGCCCACCTGGGGAGTTGGTGGCCGGCTCGGCACCCCCAGTGCTGTAAGTGGGCAGGCTGGACAGTGAGTTTCGGCCGGAGTCAGACAGTGTCCCTGACGGGCAGCCACTGGCCCAGCCACTCAGTGCCAAAGGTTTGTCGGCAGCTGAGGAGGAGGAGGAAGAGGAGGAGGAGGCGGGGCCCCCAAACAGCTGTGTTAGGCTGCCCTGGCTCCCAGACAGTCCGGTGGCCCGAGGACCCAAGAAGCTGGGGAGAGACGGTGCCCCTCGAGGTTTGGGCAGCACTGGCTTGAAGGCTGTTGGGCGGATCAGGATTTTCTCCATGTTCTGAAATGAGGTGCCACGTGACACGGGGGGTGAGCTGCCCAATCTTTCAAAGCCCGTATCGCACTCCCTGTCTTCCCACCTGGGGTCTCCCATCCCCACGTGTCAGTAACAATTGCCACCACTACCTGGGGGTCTCTGGAGTGTCAGCTTTACATCAAGCAATTTAAAAGGTTCATCGCTACTCATGACAACAGCCCTGTGAGCAAAACTACGATGACTGTCCCCACATTACAGATGAAGAAGTGGAGGCTCGGCAGAGTTAAAGGCCTTGCTCGAGGTCACACTCATTGCTGTGGGGTAACGACAGTGGTTCTGACAGCTAACGTTTACTGAGCGCACTGTGTATGCCGAGCACTAGGCTAAGCACTTTACATGTATTATTTCATTCTCACAACAAACTTGTGAGGGCTGACCTATCACCTCCATGTCACAGATATGGAAACAAGCTTGGGAGAGTTAAGTGACCTCCTTGAGGTCATACGGCCAGAATGAGAAAGTGCTGGGATTAGAACTCGGGTCTAGTGCAGCTTGAGCCCACACTCCTTTCTCTAAACAGACCTCCAAACTCCTCTGGCTTCTCCAGGGGCTCCCGATTCCACCCAGGCCCCAAAGGAAGGGCTGGTCCTCACCTTCTCCAGCTTTCCAGAGACAGGGATGAGTTTCGGTGGGGGGCCGCGGAGGTGGGCATTCCGTGCTCGTTGCTCCCGCGCATCCTCAATGTCGCTGCTGGGGCTGGAGGGTGACTCTGTCCGGAAGTCCTCGTTGATGTAGGTGAAGGTGGTGCCAGGAACAGTCTTCCTGGGGGGCACGGCTGGGCACAGCGGCTCCTGTGCTTCATAGCCACCCCGCAGCAGCCCATCCTGCTGGCGGAAGAAGGTGGGCCCAGGGGCGCCATGGTGGCGGGAAGGAACTGGCCCCCCCGGGCAGGGCCGGCCTGAGATGAGGCTGCTCACACTGCCCATGGCTGGAGCTTGTGGGGTGGTGGCGGTCTCAGGAGCAGGTTCCAGTGGCACTGGCAGAGTCTGCACAATGGCCATGGCGGCGGAAGCTCTGGCCTGGCCGGGGGCCTCCAGGGGAACCTGTGAGCAGGGCAATGGTGTCAGAGTCCCTCCACCTTGAGCTTCCTATACAAGGTCCCCAGTCCCTCTCCTGACCCCGATCCCAGGTCAAGTAGCCTCCTGACATCGGTAACAAGCCCTGATGTCCCCAAAGCTCCCCCTCTGAGCACTGGCATGAACCGGAATTCTTCCTGGGCTCAGACCACTGTCCAGCGTGGGTCTGACCAGGGCAGGGGACTGAATCTACTGAGCAGGGAGGACGAGGGGAGGGGAGGCCTGGAGGTTACACAGGACCCAGCCCCAAACTGCATCCCCTACAGAAGCCAGGACTCAAGTTAAGGAGGGAGCCTTATCTACCAGCTCCCAGCACAGGGCCCTGGTCCCCTGGGACAGGTGGCCTCGTTAGAGGGCAGTTTGGGCAGAAGCAACCTCAGGGACAAAGTCAGCAACTCAGCTGGTAATTAGGGAACAAAGAGCCAAGGCCAGGCAGTGCCCAGCCTCCCCCAGCTGGGCCTCAGTTTCTCCCAGACAGAGTGGCGGCAAGGGTAGAACTGGCCAAACAAGAAACTCGGAGCTCTTAGGGAGCCCAGAGGTGCCCTGTGGGGTCTCCTGACTCCATGCAGGCTCGTGCTTGTTGCTATGACAACTCCTAGCCTCACCATACCCACTCAGTTGGGCCTAAAGGAACCTACACAGGCCTACTGCCAAGTTCTATGAAACCTTCTGGCTTTAGATATTCCCCGGCACGATCCCAAGGGGGTAAGGGTAGAAGCCCTATCATCACCTCTGGCAGCTTCTTCAAGATCCCAGTTCCCTGGAGCCCAGGGCTCCACCTCCCCAGGCCCTCCTCCTTCCTGGAAGGGGACAGCAAGTCCACCCGGAACTCCCTCCATCAGGGAAGACCAGGGCTCAGGCATCTGCTGAAGTCATCATGCAGAGCAAGGGGGCTAAGGAGTGGACAGAGAATTGCGTAGGAGCAGGGGTGCATGCATTTACTCACTTGTGTGTGCGGAACTGTAGGCACAGCGTGAAAATGGGTACTGTGTGTAGGAAAATTTGTGTGACATCATGACTAAGTGCATGTGAGCAGATATGTTTAGATATATTCATACATACATGAGTATACGTGTGAATTCATATGGGCATGTCTTACAAGAGCGTGTGTGTAGAAGTTTAGGGGGTCACTCTCAGAAAGTATGTGAAAGTTACAAATGCACAGGTAGTGAATTTGTGGCGTATGAGCGTGACTATATGAGAGAATATGTGTGGGCAGATGTCCACTCATATATACTCACATGTATTTTATCCAAGTGTGTGCACAGGAAAGTGAGTGTGTACAAGTGTGTACTGAGGAGCATGTGTGAGACAGGGAGGGAGCCTGGGTGGGATGCAGGGCCCACTGGGTGAGTGGGAGCTTGATTTTTGTCACTCACTGGAGTGTGGAAGAGGAGAGACATTATCTGATTCCTTTGCCTGATCTGCTCCCCTTCTTTCTTGCTTGTGTTCCATAAGCCCACCCCCACCACCCCACTCAAGTCAAAAGACCCTGAGACCAGGAAGATGTCCAAACTAAGGTAGGAGGAACTGGGAGTTGGGGGTAGGGGTGAGCAGTGTCCACCAAAGTGCCAGCCCGGAGCAAAGTGGATGGAACGCCCCTTCCTTTGCCCTCTCCAAGACTGTTCCAGAGCTTGAAAAAAAAGCGGGGAAGGGGCTTCTTAGTGGGTAGTGGGGGCTGGCACTTCTGTCTGCATTTCCCCACTTCAGTGAGCACAGAGAAAGTGCAAACTGAGGGGAGGAGACAGACTCAGAGAGACAGGGACCCAAGAGACAAAGACTGAGGCCCCAGGGTGTCAGGTAGACAAGGCAGACCCAGTGAGCTTGGGGCCTTGAACCCCATGGAGCCAGGGGCCCCTAAATCCAGAAGAGACATCAGCTGGGCCCTGTGAACCAGACACCCACGGAACTGGAGTCAGAGCCAGGCGTCTGGAAAGCCAGGCCTGGCCAGCCCGACTCCCGCTCTTGAAGCCTGAGAGAGAAGGAGGGGCAAGTAGAGGCTCCATTTTGAGAAATGCGTCTGTGGCTGTAGGGATGGGAATCCCCACTCTGCCCGGCACTCCCTGAGTGACCCCTCTGGCACAGCAACCCTCCTTAATGGGCTGGAGAGAGCAGAGGGCAGCGCTCAACCCGGACCCGAGAGAGATCTAGCCAAGATCCGAGGGCCCACAGGCCTGTTTAGGGGGCTCAAGAGTTGGGGAAAGTCTCTCCCCTCACCCCGTTCCAAGGACCGGTCAAGTGGGCTAGAGTCTGGGATCACGAGTTCCCATCTGCGACAGGAAGCAGGGAGCCCCCATTCCACCCTCCTTCAGACCCCCCCACCGCCGCTTCCATAAAGTGGGAGCCGCTGCGGAATGCCCCTTCCCCACTGGCCCTCCACCGCGTAGAAGTTGGGGGTGCCCTTAGGTTGCCTCCCCGCCCCGGCCCCCCTCACCTCCACCGCTCTGCTCCATGCTCAGCCCCGGGCCGCCCCCCGCGCTTCACCGGCAAGCTGCCCGGCTTCAGCCCGCGCACGGCCACTTGGAGCCGCCTGGCCCGACCCGGCCCCGCCTCCACGGCGCCCCCCGCTGGGCAGCCCCCGCCCTACCCGTGTGGGCGGTGCAGCGCGGGGGAGGGGTCCCAGGGGCGTCCCGCCCCCGGGGCGCGGCCACACGCAAGCACCCCGCGTCACGCGTGTCCGGCCGGAGTCCGCAGGGGCTGTACAGTCGGACTCAGTATTCCTCCCTCCCAGGCCGGGTGGTTGTGTATCTGGGGCCTTGGTCAGCTCAGGACTCGCGTTGGCAGCGACAGCGGGTCACCCTCAACCCCAACTCGGGCCCCGGGGCCAGCGGCAGCTGGTCATTGTTCAAGCACAAAGGGCCAGGCATAGCGGCTGCCGCCCTGCCCCCTCCGCTGCTCTAGTCGAAGCCTCTCCGCCCCAGACACGCTCTCCGACTTCGGAGTCCAGAGGGGGAGGCCGAGGGTCAGCTGCCACCCACTTTCTCCAGTGGCCCAGGCCCTACACCGCAGCACAAGGGAAGGGGCCCAGGCTCTCTCCATACCTGCCCCACCCCCAGCAGCTAGGTGGCTTCACACTTGGATTTGTGGAGGTGGTGCCATCTGGTGGCGCATTCGGAAGACATAGCTAGTAACCCCGCCCCCCCACCTCAGGGGTGGGGACCTCTACCCTACCCTGCCCTACCCTACCTTCCCTTACCCTACCCAGCTCCACAGCAGCGTACCCTCTTCCCTGTGAGCCCAGGCCTGCCCCAGTAGCGGCTCTGTGCCTCAGCCTTCCCTCAGAGACATTTGCTAAGAGAGTCATTGCTCGGAGAAGCTGCTCCTGGTCCTTCAACAATCACTGGGGGGAGCATGTTCACACCCACCCTAGCCTCACAGCAGGCAACATTCCACTGTCTTCTCAGGGGTCATCAATATTCCCACCCTCTGACAAAGAACACATCCTTAATACCCACACGACCTTTCCCACCTTCAGACTCACACAGCCACAAGTCAGCCTCATTCATCACGTGGTTCCCTGTTCCTTCGCTCCATAATCATTCAGGCCATCTTGCACAGAGACACACTCGGAGTCACACAGCTACTTGTGCACAGGCTTTCACAACTCGCAGTCCTTCCCACCCAGACGAAATCTGAAACACAATCTCCTAAGCATCTTTCACGTTGAACGTCTTATTCACAGACACAACTTCTACGTATACACATACTTCTCAAACATTCTACCACACATACTTTCCTGTAGGGGTCTCTGTGACCTGGTCAGGTCAGCTGATGCCAGCACCCCTGGGCAAGGACAGCCTCTCGTCCCCTAACGGACGCCCCCAGCACCGTGCCCCAACCCAGGCCAGGCCTGCCAGATCTCCTCTGCCCCAGGAAGGAGCATTCCCCCCACACACCCCCTACCCCCCCTTCCAGGCCACAGCCCTGGCCGGCTCTCAGCTCTATTTTTAGCTCTATGGAAAGGGTTGTTTTTCTTTCTTTTTCCCTGGAAAGGGAAACATAGCCCAGCCACCCTCAGGCTCACCCCAGACCCTCAGCCTCACAGGAACAGACGAAGGCCCTCTCGCCAGTAGAGACCCCCTCCTCTGGCCTTGCCCTGATCCCAGCCTCCTGGGGTACCAGGAGCCTCCTCCCCTTTCTGGCAGCCTGCCCAGAAGCTCCAGCAGCAGCTGGGCTCAGCGTGTGTGTAGGGGTGGGGGGTGGGGCAGGGAGGGAGGCTGACTGCCTCTGCCCACTCCCTCGTGGTGGTAGTGGGGGGGGTTGGCTGGTCCTTCCTGTACCTGAGGGGTACAGGCCCACTCCCAAACTGAGGGGAGGGTTATGCTGCTGCATTCTCTGCGGGAGAGGGTCTCCCACTCTAGCATGAATGGGTTTTCTACTCCTACCTTGGAGGGAAGGAGTTCCCAGTTCTGCAAGGAGGGGTCTTAGTACCAAGGGGACCCAACGGGTGTTAGGGCAGCAGCTCCCCAGGCCGGAGGTATGGGGTGGGCAGGGGGAGGCCTGCTGTCCACTGCCATCAGTATAGCGCCCCCCTCCGATACCTTCAGGGATAAAGACACCATGAAGGTGTTCGCGAGAAGGAAGCAAGGAGCACAGGTAACCCCACCCCAGTTCAACAGTCTCCCGTCCTCCTTCACTACCCGGACTCCAGGGGGCGTTGTGCTCCTATTTCTGGAGGAGGGCTTATCACCTCTCTAGGCGGAGAATGGAGTACAGCCCCACAAACAACCCCGAAGACTTGCCCTGGACTTGGGAGAGTCGTCCTCGCGCAGATGCTGGGGTGGGGGGAAGCACAGCACACCTGTCTGTGAAGCGATCACGTGCTCAGGGCCTGTTTACGTCTTAGTCTTCACCTGCTGGCAGCCAGGAACCACGCGAGGTGTCCCACCCGCCCGCTGCCGACTGCGATAACCAGTTGGCCCTTTCCTGCTACCCCAGGCAAATACGCGACAGCAGAGCTCCCTGCCCGCTGGGGTCCGCGCAGGCCAGTGGCGCTGCTCCAAGGACTGCAAGAGTAACCCACTGGGCGCGTCCTTTCCTGAGTGCACGTGTGTCCCAAGTGCGTCCGTGGGTATGTATGCACGCATGTGTGGGCCCGTCCGTGTGAGTTTCTGTGTTGGTTCCCAGCTCAGATGCTTTGCCTGCGCCCTGGAGTGGGGATTCCCCGCTTCTCGTCCCAACACCCAGCTTCGCCAGACAGGAAAGTTTACTCCGGAGCCTGGATGTAAGGGAGGTGCGAGTTCCTATACCTCCGCCAGTCCCACCACTCACCCAGTGCCACCTGCGCCGCCGCTCCAGCTCCTGCCCGGCTCTTGCTCCAGTGCCGGCACCTCCTTGCCACGGATCCCCGGGCTCTCAAGGCAGCTCCTGGCTCCGGGCGCCCGCCAGGTCCGGCCTGGTGGAGCGGGGCGGGGCCGCTGAGGCCGCGCCCCCGACCCAAGGAAGGGAGTGGTCTGCCCAGCACTCCTTCAGTGGCCAACCCAGTACCAAGCCCAGCAGTAACACTACAGTGGCACGAGGCTGCCCTCTGGCCTCTGACTTCTCAGCCAACTAGATTTGGCTTTCGACCTGGGGAAGGGGCAAGCTGCACACGATCGGGAGCTACGCTACCTTCCTGGCTGGCCTAACCGAAATGGCTATAGGGCTTTCCCGTCACCAATTGCTGCTCTATGGGGAGCCAGAACTGGTCCACTCTAGACCTGCTCCCCAGACACAGGGAAAACCCCTGGGAAGCGGACAAAGAAAGCTCGGGTTTCACCAAAGCAGACCCACCTCTCCTCCCCCAACACCTCGGGCTGGGGCTGCCCAAGCAGAGCCAGCACCTAGCACTCCCTTGGAGTAGATGTCTGCCCAGGTGAGCGAGCCTGCCAATTCTGGCCCCCGTACAGAGCATAGCCTGGCTTGCCTTAAACTCATAAAGTTCCACCCACAGGCACAAACAGGAAGTTAGCCTGTATTGCAGGGAGGCACCTAGGGCTCCCTCCCTCCATGCCACCTAAGGCAGCCTGTGGGAAGGCAGACTGTGATGTCTGCATCACAGTATCTGGGCCATGTTTGCAGCCTTAGTACTCGGGCAGCAGGAGTCGGGTGAGTTTAGTCCCTCCCCAGACCCACTCACCGTAAAGAAGCTGCTGGAGGACCAAAGCAGCCCCTGAGAGTGTGACAGTCAGAGGACAGGCTGCAGGCTGAGCCCTCAGGGAGATTCTCAACACCCAGTTGGACACAGGCAGAGTACTGTGCCTCATTCCACTTTCCCTGGGTGCAGGGTCAGTGGCTGTCAGGGATTCCCCACTGCTGTCTAGTCTCCAGGGACTCCTGAACACACCTTGGGCTCACCTTGACGTGAGGAGTCTGACAGGTGTGGGATGGAATGTTTGTGTAAGGTGTGGGGCTGGGGGAGCATTAGCTTCCCCTCCCTCCCCATCATTCTGGTTTGTGCTGTGTGGGGGTGTCTGCTAGGAGGGTGGGGCAAGAAAAACAGGCAAGTCCTCTATCCCCAATTCACAGAGACCTCACAAAGTTCCCCTAGTGGAAACCCCTAAAGGATTTCCTAGAACACACCTGGCGTTCTAGAGAGACCTAACGTCGAACCCACATCCTTGTAGGTAGGACTGACCTGGTGGTGCGCATCTGGAAGGCACGGCTGACGTTCAGTGTTACAGACCTTGGATGAGGCCTAGATCAGCCAGCGGCTGGGAATGATTACCACGGGATTAGGAGGCCTGGCTCCAGCCAGTCTGGGAGAGACCCCCAAGAAGGGAGGCCCTGGAGGAGCTCTCTTCCCTCCCCCCCGAAGTTCTTCCCACACAAACAGCTTTGCTGCAGGTCTGTTCAGGAGACAAGTGTAGCCATAGTTCTCACACATAAGAAAACAAAGACCCCAGACCCTTCTACACGGTCCCAGAAACCCCTTCTTAGGTTGACAGGGAGACCTTGATAAGACAGCCCTTCTTCAGAGGAAGGAACCAACCCCTCAACCTTAAAAAGACTCCCCCCCCAGGCCCCTCAGAACACCTTGCATTCTCACCACACTTGCAGCAAATCTACAGGGAAACTGGGACTTACCGTTATCAGAGAAAGTGAGTTGCGTGTCATCATTTAGGAATTTTTCTGACAGGGTCTCTTTTCCATCTCCTTCAGGGCTTGTTAAAAACCAGAAATCCTATACCTCTCCTCCAACTTCTAGAATTACCAGTATCTGTGTGTGTGTGTGTGTGTGTGTGTGTGTGTGCGCGCGCGCGCGCGCGTGGGTGGACTGGGATGAGAGAAGGGCCTAGGTTTTGCTTTTTCCAGCGAGAGCCCCAGGAGTCCCGACACACACTAAAGCAGGAGGAACACGGAGAAGGTACAGGAGGTCGGAGATGGACGGGGGCCAGATGGGAACACGCTGAGCCTGAGTCCACACCGAGAGGTCAGCGAATGGCTCGTGTCACAGAGGGACAGCTGGTCAGGCAGAGTCTAGGTACGTGGCCCAGTGACCCACACCTCTGCCAGGGATCACATTAAGATCCTTAAGGAAAACAGGGACAAAGAGGCACCGTCCTGTCTTCCCTAGGCTAAGACGAGGTGTACAGGTGTGTCTGTGTGAAGGCCCTTTAGTGCTCCCGCTTCCTTGGGAGAACAGAGCTCAAAAACTGGGGGTGGGGGAGGGGACCCACCCACTCCCAATTCAAAGTGAGAAGAAAATCCAGTAATAGACTTGGGAGACACCTGGTGGACAAATAAGAGGAAGCACAGAAACAAAGGCAGTGGAAAAATATATCTATTTTTTCAGTAAAACTGGGACAAACTCTATAAAAAGGGATGACCGCGCCCACTGAAGTGGTTGGAGGTGGCGGGCACTGCGGCGGGCCGACTTCATGCCTCGGCTCTCTGGCCAAGCCGCCACCTTTGTCACGGGGCGAAGCACCTAGGATCTACTCATACTGAGTGCCACCACGCAGCAGGCTCCAGAGTGGGGATCAGAGGAGCTCAGTACCCACCATGTCCCCTTTTAGCTGCGGAAGCCTGGGCTGGCATTTGGCAAGAAAGCTCCTATTCTCCAGGCTGAGGGGACCTGACCCCACTGCTTTGAACTCAACTTGCTCATTCCCCACTCAGGGCCTCTCTCGCTGCTTTCCCTTCTGCCTGGAGTCCTCCTCCTCCAGGTGTGCCCACAGCTCAGTACTAGTTCTTTATGTCCCGGCTCAGATGGCCTCTGCTCAGAACACCTTTTCAGACCTGCATCTAAACTAGCCTGGAAGCACTATGGCATCATTTTATTTTTCAAACAGCACTTTTCACTATCTGAAATTGTTTTGTGTCTATCTGTCCATTAGGTTACCTTGTCTGCCCTCCCGGCTGCATTTTCCATGGAGGCAGGAAACTTGTCTGTCTCGTCAGTGCTACATTCCTGGGACCTAGAACAAAGCCTGGCACACAGTAGGTTCTCTAATATCTGCTAAATTGAATTTTCTCACTATGGGCCCCTGCCCTAGGCCAGGCCCCTGGGACTGAGCAGGGCCTGGAGCTGGGGAACACAGGACAGAGGCGGTCCCAGCAGAGGGCCGAGGAGGAGTCTGCGCCCCAGCACGTCCTGTCAGATTCATCCAGGGTCCAGCTCTGTACCTCCTTCACCTCGGAAGCTTGGAGGGGTCTGGCTGGTAAGGGTAGGGGGCCTCATTCGAGGAAGTCTCAGAGTTCTGGGGCACAGCCGCCCCCTTTTTGCCAGAAGAGGGCTTTTTGGCCACTAGCCCATTGTCATCCTTGATCTTCTTAAGCCGTGCCTTGCTCTTTGGTGGTATGGAGAAGGTAAGAGAGCTCTTGTTGAACTCAAGTGGGAAGACGCCCACGTCTCCATCAAAACGGTTCTTGGCCACCTGCAGATAGCGTTTCCCTGGCCCAGTTACCAGCTTCCTGTCCTGCAGGATCAGAACATTGTCCGCTTCCTGGCTCGCCTGAGGGACAGGGCAAAGGATGAAGGAGCAGTGAAGAGACACATGAGAGAAGCAGAAAGGAAGGTTGAGGGTGCAGGGAGAAGTGGTAAGAATGGGGAAAGGAAGCACTCTTCCTTCTCATCAAAGCACACCGAACTACTGACCATGATGCTAGGGCCACCTGCGTTCTCCAGTCCCTTCACAACCCTGCTGCCACCCCCAGATTCTGTGCCTGCTGTTCTCACTGCTTGGAACACTCCTCCTGCACAGCTTACCACCTCACTCAACCTCAGCTTCTTATCACTGAGGTCTTGGTCTAAATGTTACACTTTATCAGAGAGACCATTCTCGACCCCTGTAAATAAAGAAGGCACCATCTTTCCTTCTGTGTTAGTCTCTTCCCCAGCTCCATGCCTGTTCCGTCATGGCACAGAGTCTGTGCCCAGCCCAGGCCTGGCATATAACAGGCATTCAGTGTACTTACTGGGAGGTCCAGGATCAGGCTGGTCCTGCTGCTGCAAGGCCCTCCCATTTAGTTACTAAACACCTACTTTTAGCCAAAAGGCCAAAACTCAACCCAACAGTTGCTGACACCTCCTCTAGGAAGTTTCTCCAGATGCCGCAGGCTGACTCGGATGTCTTCTCCCCAAATACCTGCGCTGCCTATCACAGCTTTGTCCCACCCAGCTATAACCCCTGTCTCATGTCCTCCCAGCTAAAGAATGTGAGCTCCCAGAGGGCAAGGAGGGCGAAGGACCAAAACTTATCAGCCTTTGTATTCCTCATGCCATGGCCCCAGCTGCCTCTTCCAGACGAAGGGTCAAGATGACTTAGGGCTGACTGAGGGCTACTCCTGTCACGCTTCCCCCCTCTACTTTCCAAAGCCTGGGCTCTGCTCAAGGTCACTTACTTTGGCTGAGCCAAAAATGGACGCTGTTTGCAGTTCCTTATCATCATCCTCCTTCCGGGGATGAATGACCAGTGTCACATGGCAGCTACTCTCTGTTGCAAACTTCCGAAAGGCCCCAACGATGTAGTCTTGGGCTGCAATCCTGTCCCCACCCCAACAAAACAAGAGGTTACCAGACACAGACAGAAGGACGATATACACATACTCTTGATTCATTCGCCTCTCCACGAAGCACCACAACCCCACTCTACTTCCCTGTACTCAAGGACTCATGATCAGGTCCCTGTCCATACTTCCTGCTGCCACACCCCACACCTCTATAGAGACAGAAATACACAGGGGGTGGGGTGTGTCTGCACACATGTCAGAAAACAAGAGTGCAGTGTGTGTGCCTAGGGCCAGCTGCCCGAGAAGACATCTGTGTTCAAGTGGATTCCAGCTAGACAAGAGGATGTCACCTGTCTGTAGACAGCTGCTCGTGACCCATCATGAACTGCAAATTATCGATGACCACATGGCAAATGTCATAGACGTAGACTGCATGCCGCATTGTGTCTATTACAGTCCTGGGAAGAGGAAGAAGCGATGAATTCAGGAGTCAATTACAAGTAGTCTCCAGCCCATCCCAGGCAGAAAGCCAGCATCCTAAAAACTCTCACTGGGGGTCTGTTCTCCTGCCCTCACATTCTCTGAAAACCCTAAGCCTGGAAATCTCACCTGATGCTCTGTTGCCCATGGAAAGTCATAAAGTAGAGGGGCAGGTCCTCAAACCGGTCAGCCCACTCATCATATCTGTCCAGCTGGTCTTCTAGCCGCCCCACAGCAAACTGTGTCAGCATGATCCGAGCTAGTCTCACGTTGCTGATCTCAAAGCTGCCCCAGAGCGTGTTCACCCCCTGGGTACACAAATCCAGGGCATACTCACTGATGAATGTCGTCTTCCCACTGCCTGTCGGCCCTGCAGGGGGGTTGAACACAGATCCAGGTGAGGGAGGAGAGTCCTACCCTTGAAACCAAGACCTGGAGCAGGGCCTCGAAGTTGGGAGGGAAAGCCTGCCCGTCAACATTTATAGTGGCCCAAACCCACATGTTTGTCACCTGATCCTCTGCCACCACTCCAAGCAGGGACTTCCCAAAGGGTCACCTGTAAAGACTGTCAGCTCGCCCTTCCGATGTCCCTTCAAGAAACGATTGAGATCTGGGAAGCGGCTCCAGCGCACGCCTGCTACCTGCTCCACATTTGACAGCTCTCCTAGTACCTCTTCCCGAAGCTGCCGGAAAGACACGATGGACTTGTGCCAGGCAGGTAGGGTAGAACGCAGAATTCGAGACAGATTTAAGCCTCGGTTCAGGGCCTCCAGGGGACAGGGATGCTGGTCCCCAGGCCGCACCAAGGAGCATCGCTTGGGGTTCAGTTTTCGGGCAAACAACTTGGCAGCTTCCCAGGACCGAAGGTCATCCCCCAGCCAGAGCACAATACGTCGGAACTGTTCGAGGTAAGGGAGCAAGGCAGGTGGTAAGCAAGACGTTCCTCGGGGAAGGGCAAGAGTGGGCAGCCCTGTGGATTGGTTTAAGGCCAGGCTGTCCAGCTCACTACCTGTCAGTACCACCTCAGTATCCCGATGACTTATCAGTGACAATCCAAACAGATTGTGGTAGGCACCAGGCCGGGGTATGGTGGTCTCCACATAGCGCACTCTATCCGCCTGGCTTTCAGCCTGTAGGAGCTTCAGGCCTCGTAATCCTAAACTTCCTGGGGAGAACCAAGGGAAGACGAGGCTTCGAGCAGGCCGCAGATACCGCACACTGAAACGCCTGAGAGTATCGTCTGTCACTTTGGTAAGGCCAAACATCACACGAGTCAGCTGGGCCTCCTCCAGCTCAGGCAGCTCCCAGAGAGGTACTGCTCGGTCCCAGATCCTCCGAATCTCCTCAATGTCCTCAGCTTCTGGGGCTTCACCGAGCAGGATCCCCTCTCTATCTCCATCCCTACGTCCTTCCACACTGGCCTGGAAGTCTTCCCAGCTCCCCTCTGCTAGGCTGGTCATGCAGAGAAAGCGGCCTGTGGTCTTGTCAATGAAGAGACTGAAGGAAGTGGTTTTAGCAGTCTGGTCCTTGAGCTGGGAGGCCCCCAGGAAGGGGCTGGGTGCCCGCAGGCAGCTGTGGCCGTCCTGGAAGGGGATCCCATGTGTCCGCAAATATTGGCGGATCTCAGTTGTAGTTACAGGCAGCATTGGTACCTCCGAGGCAGGGAGAGCCTCCTTCCTGTACCGTCTGCGAGGGGGGCCTGGGACCAAGCTTCGAGGCAGGCCCCTCCGACCCATCCACTCCCCACGCAGGGACAACAGGATACGAAGCGGGTACCCGCTTCGGAGAAGGACCCCCATTCCTAATCAAATGGAGGAAGTCCCTACTTGCAATGCCTTAGGTGCCTGGTTCAGGTGCCTTCAATATATTGGCTAGACCCTAGGGATCCTCCACACAGCACTCTTAAAAGCTCACTCTAGGTGGCTTCTCTCTTTTTTCAAATTTCTCCCTCATAAACATCTTTCTGAATCCTCTTCGGCCCTTCTACATTGCTACTTCCATCCAAGCCCATCTCCATGACCCTTTCACGCCTCTGTCCTTCTATCTGGCTCCCTATCTCTCTGGTCCTTTCCAGATTCTCCCATGGCAGTCGCTCACTGATTGTAGTTTCTCCAGATCATCTATCCACCACTACTGCCCTCCACGGAGTCTCCTCATCGTCCTCATCGGGTCCTTACTGTAGCCTCCGCTCTAGATCCCCTCTTCGCTGCTCCTCCCCTCAAAGGGGTCTAGACACGACTAGGACGCCACTGTGTGGCTCCCGCCCCTCTCGGTGCCTCCTCTCCACCCGCCCGCGCGGCTTCCCGCCGCTCCACCCGCAGGCTCTCCGCCGCTTCAACCCCGGCCCCGTGCCACCACTCTCGTCTCACTGCTTTCGTTCGCAGCGTGGGTTATTCGAACGCGCCACTCAACGAGACCTCGGAACTAAAACTCCCCCGGGCGCGATGTCCCCGGAACCGGAAGCCTGGGTGTTAGTCCCGCCCCATCGCTTCCAGGCTTGGCTCGGCGGCCTAGGAGCTGAAGCCATGACTGCGCGTGGGACCCCGAGTCGCTTCCTGACGAGCGTCCTCCACAACGGGCTGGGTCGCTACGTGCAGCAGTTGCAGCGACTTAGCTTCAGCCTCAGCCGCGACGCGCCCTCGTCCCGCGGCGCCAGGTGAGCCGGCGGAGGGCGTGGGGGTGCGACTCCGGGCAGAGGTTGTCGGGGTCAGGGGTCACGGTGCTCACCCTTCTCGGGTTCCTCAGGGAGTACGTGGAACAGGAGGTGGCCGACTTCGCCCGACGGAACCCGGGTGTCGTAATATACGTGAACGCGCGGCCGATCAATGTGCCCAGAGTCGTGGCCGAATACCGTGAGTGGGGCCGGGCGGTGGCTGGAGGGCGGCCCGAGGGGGCGCTCGGCCCGCCTCCCCTGACGTCTGACCCATCCACTTCCTATTACCCCCACCTCCCTCCTGCCAGTTAACGGAGCTGTGCGCGAGGAGAGCATCCACTGCAAGTCGGTCGAGGAGATCACGAGGCTGGTGCAGAAGCTGGCAAACCAGTCCGGCTTGGACGTGATCCGCATCCGCAAGCCCTTCCACACGGACAGCCCTAGCATACAGGGACAGTGGCACCCCTTCACCAACAAACCGACAACGTGCGGTGGGCTGCGCCCGCGAGAGGTCCAGGATTCTGCCGCAGCCCAGGCGCCCGCACAGTGAAGAGGTTGCTTCAACTCCATTCCCTCTGATGGTGGTTCTTCTTCCTTGGCTTTCGGGGATTCCAAGCCCAGGCAGACAGGTGGAGCCCATGAAAGGGAAAGTTGATGCCAAAGCTTTTGCTTGGGATAAAGAGCTGCCTGCCTCTTTCTATTTGGTGCCCACTGTGATGGGCAGTGGCTTTGAGTCTCCTTCTTGTCCAGTTGACACTACTGAAAATGGAGAGTCTTCGAGGATCTTAACTGAGTTCTCATTTCTGAAATCGAAATCGGTAGTAATGCACTGAAATCACAGTGAGGGATTTCAAGGCTGGCTTCTGAAGAATCCCTGATGTCCTATTTCTGCAGTCATTGAGCTAGAGAGCTAGCACCATCTGCTCTGCTGTGAACCTGGCCTTGGGCTAGGCTGTGTGAATGTTAGTGTGCACATCAGAAAACTGAGGTTAATAAACTTGTCCATGGTCACCCTTGAGGTCATACTTCAAAATATGTTCGTATTTTACATATAACCCCATTTTTCATTATCACAAAACCAGAGCAGGGCATATAATGACCCTTCAGGATGCTCAACATCAAAGGCCATGTAATAATCCAGGCCTGGCCCTTGGAGAAAGGGATTCTCAGGCTAGCTGATAAATGGGCAGCATCTTCTATGGGCTTGGCTAAAAAAGTGGTGGTGGGGGATGGTGAGGAAGAGCCAGGAGGGAAAAACCTAGAAACCGTTGTAGGAATCCTTAAGCCATGGTACTTTTGTCGTCCCCTCATCATCATCATCATCACTGAATAGTGAGAGCCTTAACAAAGGCCCGTGTACCTGCTCGGGGCAGTCAGGATGGAAGCCAAGGACCCCAATTTCCTCTGCAAATGGTTTTATGGGGATCAGAGCCAACCCTGCAGCACCTTTTCCATAGGCTCAGAAGCCTGTCCCCTGGTGATCAGGGGGAGTCCAGGTGAGACCAAGCAGATTACTCTCAGCCATGGGGAAAAGAGGGTATTTATTAACCAACAGGGTGGAGGAGCTGAGCCCAGGCTCCCCACTGTCACATGCCCATTCGGCCCACCTGGGTGGTGAGTGGGGGCATTCCTAAAGTAGTGTAGCCATCTCACAATAAATACATTCATCGTAGGGGAGAGGTGGGAGAGGATGGGTGAAGGGCAGTAAAAATCCGTGGGATTCCACGTTCTCAGCTACAAAAATAACAGTCATCCTCACCCAAGGGAATGAGGGAGCTCAGTCAGGATTTGATTGTCCCATATGGGCCTGGAGACTTCAGAGGCCCCTGGACCCTGAAAGTGCCCCGGTGAGGTAGGACAGGGGTGGGAGCCAAGCATCCAAACTCCCAGCCTCTGCCCTTTGCATAGTTCCAAGAACGGGCTTCTTGTGCCAGGTGAGATAGCAGATCTTTCCTCCTGCTGCTCTGGTCTAGGGGTAGCAAATGCTTGGTCCCCAAAAGGGAGGCTGGCTCATTGAGTGCAGTGTGGGTCACCCGTCCTAGGGAAGTGTCTGTAAGGACAGCTAAACCGGAGAGGGCTCTCTGAAATGTCCATGGACCAAACCTGACAGGTCCAAGGCAGCAAGAGGAGGCTCATAAGGTGCATGTAAGTGGAAATGTGAGCATGTGTACATGAGGGACGTGCCTAGAACACTGTCACTCTTGAGAGTGACCAAGGGGATGGGCGTGCTGACTCATAAGGGCTGCACATTAAGGGAGAAGAGGGGAATGATGCAGTCTTACCTCCCCACACTGGCCTGTTCCAAAGTTCTTGACAAAGAGGTCACCACAGGGGGCTGGGACTGGGGGAGAGGACTAAATATATAGGATGGGATGCGGCATTTGGGAGTGTACCCAAAGTCCAGAAGAAGGTATGTAACAAGAATGCAGCAGAAGGGGGATGGGGGGCCTGCAGCCCAGCTGATAGACATTCTTCCATGTGGGCATGTGAACGTACGCAGGGCTCAGGTGGCTCTTTTGCTGACAGAGGTCTCGTCTGGTGTCAGGACCATCCGGCACAGAGGGCCCTGCAGAGGATGGTGACATTGAGGCCATCTGGACCTGCAAGCCCTGCCTGGGAGAAAGAGGAAGGCTTTAAGCAGACGAATGGGGCAGGAGGACGGGGTCCTCTCCTCCCAAGTGGTTAGGTTGAGGGAATAAGGGCTGGGGCTGAAGAACCTGAGGGAGCACCTACCTCTGAGGAGAACCAGTTGGCCTGGGCTGCTCACAGATGGGTCTGTGGAGATTAAGGAGGGGACTTTGGCTGGGCCTGACTCTGGCTAGCCTTATAGGGACATCAAAAGTTGGAAGGGCCTGGAGTTGGGGGTGGGGAGGGGACGGTGGCTGTGTTGGGAGGCAGCAGCCCAGCCTGGGGCAGACAGGCTGGCTTGGAAGAGCATTGGTCCTGGGAGGCTGGGCTCAGACAGAGCTCTCATCCAGGTGCTCTACGAGCTGCGTGTGCTTCCTCTTCTCCAGGATGCGGCTGAGCTCCTCAGCGAAGGAGCAGGGCCCTGTGGGCACTCCATTGTTGCTCTGCCTCAGGAGCATGTAGCTGTTGCCATTCATCCTGCGCAGCCGGCTGGGCAGTGCCACCAGCCCATTGGTCAGCTCAGCGGGTGGCAGTGGGGGTGGTGGAGGAGGCGGGGCTGGGGCTCCTTCCCCCGGGATGATCTGGAGACAGCTGCCCTCCAGGCCCCCAGCCCCCTCCCCATCGTCACCCTCATCTTCCTCTCCAGGACACTGGCCCGACACTGTCTGCAGCTGCACAGCAGAGCCCCCTGCCCTGCCAGCCCGACCCAGCGAGTATTTCCGTCGGTGTCCTCGTCTGCTTCCCCGAAGACAGGCCACATAGAGGAGGGAGGAAGCCAGGATGAGGCAGAGGCCACCGAGCGCGGCAATGGCTAGCACATAGAGCAGCCTCACATCAGGTGCCAGCTGTGCCCCGGGCAAGGCAGGGGCTTGTGGAGCCGGGGCCGGGGTGGCAGGCCGCACTGTGAGGCTGTAGGAGGTCAGCAGGGTGCGAAGGCCATTCTCCTCCGCGTAGCAGCCATAGTGGCCACTGTGCTCAGGCTGCGTGTCTGTCACCAGCAGCCCATCCACACCTACACGGTAGCCACCCTGCCCATCACTCAGGCCCATGCTCCCATTGAGCAGCCACAAGGCCCGGGCCAGGTTGGATGGCTGGTCACAGGGCAGGAGGACGTCGTCACCCCGCAGCACAGAGCGGGTCTTCATTGGTGGTGGTAGCCCTGGAGCAAGTGGGGGAAAGGAAGAGCAGTCAATGTCTGCCAGTCCCAGGGAAGGCATTGGAGATGGCAAGCCAGATGGCTCACTGCTGTGTCCCCAGCACCGAGCACAGAATCTTGAATCACGGTGACAACTGGCCAAGCTCTCTGCGCTTATGCTCCCACAGAAGGTTCACATTGGCCCTTCCCTGCAGTTTCAATTCCTGCCATCTGCCATTGATGCCTAATCTCTACCTCCAGCACAGACTGCTCTCCTGGGCGTCAGACTTGAATATCTTCCACATTCTGGGCATCAGTGTGAGGTCTCTTGGACACAGGAACTAAGGCCAGAGCCTCCCCCCACAACAGGTCTTTTCCTTAAATTGACAGGTGCTTCAGTCAGAAAGCTGGGGGTCTTCCTTGCCTCTCACTCCCCCTCACCTTTGTATGCAACCCTGACCAAGATTCTGCTTCTGGAATATATCTCAGACCTGTTCCCTTCTCTCCTGCCCTGACCGCTGGCCCGCTCTGGTCCCCATCTAACCCACTCTGTGCAGCAGCGGGTGCCTTTTAAAAACACCCAGCTGATCATGCCACTCCCCTGCCTTAGCATGGTCCCTGCCCACTTCTCCAGCCTCTGCTCTTGTTGCTCAAACACACCAAGCTTGCTCTGCCTGCTGCTCCCTCTGGTTAGGTGTCATCTCTCTCCCCGTGGCCCTCACTTGCCTGGGTAACTTGTGGGGAGAGAGTATAGCAGTGATCAACAGCACGAACTCCAGTCTGACTGCTGGGGGCAGGTTCGAATTCTGACTTTTCCACTTAATAGCTGATTAACTTTGGGCAATTTACTCATTTTCCCTGTGCCCCAGAGAGGTTGTCCCTCATGGGGATGATGATAATGGCATCTCTGTCATAGGAGTGCTGTGAGTGTTTGATCAGTGCCTGGCACACAGTAAGCACTCAGTACATATTAGCTATGGTTATTAACTGTTGCTCTTTAGGTATTAGTGCGGTCATCTGATCTTCCTTGGGGAAGTACTTATTGTCCTTCAAACCCTTATCATTGTTGTAATTATTTCTTTTGTAACAAAACCCAATGGAAATAATTATAACTAATTGTGTGATCATGTCATTGCCAACCCCCCTCCTACCACTTGGCTGTAAGTTCCGGAAGTGAGCATGTTTCCGCATTCATAATTCTTTTGGGCAACAAATATTTGTTGAGCACTTACTCTGTGTGCTCTGGAAGCACACAGACAGCCATTCAGATACACCCATGTGCATCCAAAGGGCAGTAAAAGGTAAAGAGGACAGGCCATGCAGCCAGACCCACAAACATCCACGAATGTCACTTACCTGTGTCCCTGTTGCTCTCACAGCCTCGGTTTCCTCTCTCTATGTCCTGTATCAGCGCTGTCCTGGAGACAGATCAGGGCTCATGAACAAGGGTGACTGGGCTTCCGTTTCCCCAGTGGAAGGGTCAGCAGGGCTGTTACCAACAACTGGCTCCCACTCCCGCTTCAGCTGGCAGGCCCTCCTCCTCCCCTCAGGCTCCGAGTCCCTGGGCACGTGGGACTCACACACCCCCCCCACCACCACCACTTCCCACCTGCGACCCTGGGACCTGTTCACTGCAGTGGTGGCCTCCAGGCAGGCATGGGTGCTGGGGTCCCAGCCACAGTAAGGGTCCCGGGCCAAGATGCAGTCATAGCAGGAGCGGTAGCGAGAGCAGCTGGACAGCGGTAGCTGGGTGACTCCACTAGAGGCCCCCACGTAGAGGCTATGCTGGGAGCCAGAGGGGACAGCTGGTCAGCAACTCCCCCTCACAGACATGTACACAGCCCATGCCCAACCTCCCCAGTGCCCCTGCCTTTCTGGCAAGGCCATACAGAGGGTCATGACTCAGGTGTACCTGCATCGGAGAGATGACTAGATTCTCCACAGACTGAGGTTCCTTGAACACTTGTGTCTCTTCGATAATGTGCATCCCAGAGCCCAGGACCACGGCCTTGTGGATCCAGCCATCAGCTAGTATGAAAAGGGCGGGGGGGTCAGATCTCAGCAATGGAATCGCTCTGGGCCTGCTGCAATAGCCTAATGGGACCAGCTTGGGAGTCATGAGGCCAGGGACAAGATGCATTCAGTAGCAGTGGGCCCTCAGGACATTGGGACCTCTAGGCTCTTCATGGCAGGAATTACTGAGTTCAGAAGCATTAGCAACTGGGGCCAATTGTGATTAGTGGTTGGTGACGAGTCAGCTGTCACCAAGAGCCAAGGTTCACTGGGGACCAATAGCGAGTGTTCATTGAAGAATCAACATCAGCGGTCACCAGGATTTTGTGACCAAGGGTCATCAAGGGGGCTAGAGGTCAACAGGGATCAAAGGACAGGCCCAGTAGTCACCAGAGGCTTCTGGCCAGGGGTCAGAAGTACCTGTGCCCAGAAAGAGCAGGTCATAGGTGGGTCCAGCAGGCGTGGTGACAGGTGTCCCTGTGAGGTGTGTGTAGCGCACGCTGCGCTTGAGCAGCAGGGGCCGTCCACGTGTGGGCACCACAGGCCGAGCCATCAGTGGGTGCAGCTTCACAAAGTCCAGGACCGGCGACGGCAAGTCCTGGGATGAGTTGTAGCCTTGGCTGCGCAACGAATCTGTGATACACTGGGGTGGGGAACAGGGATGGTGAACCTCAGGACTCCCCACAAGATCCCACTGCCCTCCCAGGGCTTCTGTCCTGCCTGTCCTCCCTGCAAGGCCAGACCTTCTGTTCCTCCTAAGGGTTCTGTCTGCTGAGCACTGACTCCAGGTCTGCACACTCACCGAGCCGGGTCGGGGCTCTGGCACCCCACCCTCGTAGCGACCCCAGCGCCGGACGCCATCCTGGTATTCCATGTAGGGGCCTGCAAAGACAGCTTGCATCTCGGTCAGGTCATAGCGGCAGATGGCTGAGGCCTCCAGGGTCTTCCTGGGGATGATACATAGGGGAGAGGGTGAGTCACACTGAGTGGAGCCTGCCTGTCTGCCACCTGCCCAGTCTGGAGCCCACCGTTATCCTGGAAGTCCCAGTTCTAGGCCCACGGGGCCCCCTGAGGGTCAGTAGGCCACTGTGGCCTCTGGCCCCAGGCTAGCTGATATGCCTGAAATTCTCTCTGTGCAGCCAGCCCTCCCCACAGTGGATCCTGACTCATCCTCACTGACCTCTGCTCCAGCCCCTATGCTGTCCCCAGTTCCTTGCCTCCCCACTGTCCCTGCACTGACCACTGTGTGGTCAGCGTGAAGGCCGCATAGAAGTGTGTGCGGGCTGAGGTGTCAACGTCCACGCTGCAGACACCACGTAGTGTCTCGTACTGTGGAATGTGGCAGACGAGACGCGCCTTTAAGAAGGAGGTCCACTTCTTCTGCAGGATCTTCTTCCCTCCCAGGTCTCCCTAGGGAGGTAGGGGCATGGGGTCAGGAGCCAGGGTCGAGCCGCAGCCTCTACAACCTTTCCCTAACCTCAGTCCTAGTTACCTTGCACACACGGGCCACACGGGCCACACGGTGGCTGCTGCGGCTCTGAGCAAAGTTGCTAGAGCCCTCCTCGGTGGCGCGCTCCGTGAAGAAGTAGTAAACCTTGTCATCATCGCCCACCACGCTGGCCTTGCTCTCCCGCACCAGGACGGAGAACACAAACTCAGCATCTGTGAGCCAGGCAGTTCAGGTGGCTTCTGAGACAGGCTGGGTGTCTCTCCCCACCCCAACCCCTGCCCCTCACTCAACCACGCCCAGGAATAGGCAGCCTCCCCGGGGGTGTGGGGATAGGACAGTCGACTGTCCAAGGGAGTAAAGATGAAGACACAGTCCCCTCTCCCCCTCAGCCTGTGCCCCATCCTCCTAACCATTGAGCCAGTGCATGGGTGCCTCCTCAGTCCTCAGGGAGTGTGGGTGGCGGCTCCGGCGGATGTCAGGAATGCTCCGGAATTCGTACCGTGTGGCTGTGTAGAGGCCTCCATCTGGAGCAGGCATGAGACATGTCACACACAATACACATGGTGGCAAGGTCTAGCAACGGCATCTGTATCCCTCAAACAGCATGCTTGTGGATGAGGGACTGGAGAGGGGAGGAGGGTGCACTCACCGATGATAAGGCCTGTGAAGCCACGGGCTGGGTCATAAGGACACTTCTCTTTTCCTTCCTCAAAGCTGCTTGGCAAGGTGAAGGCCTCAGCATCCTGGGGGAGTGAGGGTTCAGAAGCGAGTGGTTCCAAGGACAGGCGGGAGCCCAAGGTCAGACCAGTCCCGGGCTGGGGCCAGTGATCTGGGCTAGGGCAGGCGTACTCACAATGGCTGCACAGAGGGGCTGGAAGGCATGAGTCCCACATGCGTAGAGGTGGGTGGCATTGAGCCGCTGTAGGAATCGCACATGGTTGAAGCACTCCGTCTGTGGGGTGGGTGGGGGAGGGCCTCTTCCATTAGTCCGGCTTGGTAGTCTGGCTCTTATCCCCACTCATGGGACACACAGTTCCCTCCAATATCCCAGTGCGCCTGCTCCCTGCCCGGAACGTAGAGCTCTCCCTGGAACTCACTGTCCTGTGGCCTCCCAGGGGCATGAATCCCCTCCTCCGTGTCTTGGGTCACACGGTGCGCTCTGCCAGCTTCCCCCGCATCTCCCGCACGCTCAGCGCAGGTACTCTCAGGCTCTCACCACCCTACAATGCTTCTCACACATCTCCTTCTCGGCGATGTGCCCCAACCCTGGAGCTCCCGCAGCCCCTTTGGGGTGACACCACCAGATCTATTCTCGGGCTCCAGCCCTCTCTCCACCCGATATCCCAGACACATCAAACTCGCTGTGTCAGGACGCAGGCTCATCCCCTCTTCCCTGAAACCTGCTCTTCCCTCCTAAACCTGTTCATCTAGTCTTTCCCTCCTCTCTTCCTCTCTGCGTCCTACTCAGTCCAGAAACCAGGAGTCATCGTTGCTGCTTCCCACTCCCTCACCCCCACATTCAGTCCTGCTTCCTGATTAAATGTCTCTTTGTCCAAAACGTCTCTGGACTTGGTCCACTTCCTTCCATGCCCCCACCCTAGTCTGAATTAGTGCCACCATCCCCTCTTCCCTGAACCGCCGCAGCAACCACCTGCCAGCTCTCCCAAGCTTCTGCCACTGTTTATAAAAACCGACTTATTTACTCAGTGAGTAAGGAATACATGCACTCGGTGTACAACTCAGAAGGTACAGAAGGACATGTTGTAAACAGAGTATCCTTTTTATCCCTGTTGCCTCCCGAGGAGACAGCTGTTACCACCGTCTGGAGTTTCCTTCCAGAGATAGTCTACCAGTCTGCACACTCTCGCAACCCACTTTCTAAGGCATAGTTTAAAAAATGTAAACCAGATCATGTTGCTGCTATATTTAAAAACCCTTCAGGGACTCACCAGAGTCCTGAGCACCTGAACAGAGGGTCCAACATGCTCCTGGCCCTGCCCCTTACCCTGGGCTCATGCTACTCCTGCCACACTGGCTTTCTCTGCCAATCAAATGCTTCAAGCTGCTACCCTCTTGACTTTTTCGCCTTGTTGGAGATTCCTCCTCCGGCTGGTTTCCCCGGGTTTGGATCCCTGCAGGCCTCTTTGGCTCCTCCCGCTCCCTCCCTGGATGCAGGGGTGGCTCCATCCCTCCCCTCCACCGGCCCATTCAGGCCTCCCTCCTCTGACCCACGCGATGCCCCCAACCCGGCCACTGCCTGTTCTGCCTGCAGACTGGCTCCATTTTAGTCCATGCAGTGCCTGGGGCTGGGTAGATATTCCTACAGTAAGTAATGTTTCCTCAAGGTGTTTACATTAATAAGGGGGAGGGGGAGAGGAATTCGGTGGTTAAATAAGTTTTACCAGTTAAAATACAGGTAAAATCTACCTCTACGGGGGACTTCTCAGAGCCTTATGGGTATTGCTGTGCATCGTGGGATTAAGGATGCGACATCTCTCAAAGTCATCTGACCGTTAAATCCCTCTTTTGAAAATTGATGTTCCTCAGAACCCACTGTGGGAAATGTCCTGTCTACCCAAAGTGTGGCCCAGGGACTAGCAGTGTCAGTGTCACCTGGGAGTGTGTTAGAATTGCAGAATCTCGAGACTTTCCCAGACCTACTGAGTTAACATCTGCATTTATAATATCCCCAGGTGATTCACGTGCACATTGAAGTTAGAGCATCTAAGGGAGGGCTGGGCAGGGGTGGTGGTGCTGGGATGGGAGTAAAAGACAGAAAACTGTACTTGAACAACAATGAAAATTTTAAAAAAAGTTTGAGTATCTAAAGTATCAAGTGGTGAGGGTGCTCATTGTCACAGAATAAAATCCAGATCCTCCATGGCCTGGGCGCCACCTGTCTCCCAGCCCCACTTCCTATACGTGCTCACCGGGAGGCGGCCTTTGAGGGAAGCCCCAAGAGGCACGTCTTTAAACACGCCTGTCTCAACACCCGCCTGGCTCACTGAATCAGAATTCACGGGCCAGTGGACCTTGGGGATGTGTATTTTTTTTAAGTTTTTGAGATCTTATTTATTTATTTTTAGAGAGAGGGGAAGGGAGGGAGAAAGAGAGGGAGAGAAACACTGATATGTGGTTGTCTCTCGTGCACCCCCTATTGGGGACCTGGACGCAATCCAGGCATGTGCCCTGACTGGGAATCAAACTGGCGACTTTTTGGTTTGAAGGCCGGCACTCAGTCCACGGAGCCATGCCAGCTAGGGCAGGAATGCGTATTTAAAAAAGCGTTTCGGATGGATGGATCTGCTACATAGGCGGACATGGGACCCCGTAGACACCCTGTTTCTTTAGCTAGGACGGCTGACCCCTCACCAACACCCTCCATGGAACACTGTGTAACTTGGGCTACTCCTTGACTAAAGCCTCATTTTTCTCCTCTCTAAAATGGGGATAATGCCATTTCACAGGGTTAGTTTAGAATTAGGTGAGATAATAGCTAAGTCAGAACCTACTAGAGATTAATTACTGTTATCGTGATTGTTCTTTGGGAGCCCAGAGGAAATTAAGATGCCATCACAGACCAAGCTAATAGGTCGCCAGATGTCTGGATTAGAAGTGCTGCGCCTGGGGCTCGCCACTCCAGCAGCACGTACAGTGTTTGCTGTGGCTGCTGCAACCGACTGGCTTATGGTTACCTCCCATCTGGGCTCCCAACCCTGACAACTGCCCCTGAGGAGGAGGAGGAAGAAAGGAGCTGGGGACAGGGCAGACCACATACCTGATTGTTTTTTCCTTTTTGATGACATTTAGTTTGCATCTCTGGGGAGGCCTCCCAGTGGATCTGGAGCGGGGAAAAGGGGAGAAAGGCTGATGCACTGGCCCCAATACCCTTGCTTTTCCCACTGCCTGTGGGACCAAGTGAGAGGACCCCAGGGAAATGGGGAAATTGGGGTGGGGGTCAGTTTCAGGAGGAGCTTTGCGTGTAAGGGAGCCCTGGGCTGGGAAGGGCAGCACTGTCTGACCAGGGGGCTGTGGAAGGGTGGCAGGGTTCCCAGGAAGCTGAGGTCCTGGGGAGGTGGATGGAGCTGGAGACTCTCTGTGTGGCCCAGGTTGCAGGGGCTGACCTCTTTGTGAGACCCATCTCCTATGTCGTGGGCATTGAGAGAGAACAGGGCGCCCCGGGCTCCCACCAGCAGCCTTGCCGAGGCTTCCTCCAGCAGCAGTGTTGAGTAGTTCTGGGCTGGGCCCTTGAAGTGCCGGGTCCCAGAGAGCTCTGGGGAGAGGAGGAGCTATGAGCCTAGTTCTGGGGCTGCCTCCCACCCCCAGCCCTGGCTCCTGCTGTCTTTTGAGGTTGGGGCAGGGGGAGGACAGTCTAACCTTCGTAGGGGATAGTCATCCGAGGGGTGGCATCTAGTTCTCTGGATGGTCTCCGTGGTGAGGGTCCAGGGACTGCAGCTGCTGTGAGGAAGCTCAGGAGGAGGGGCCAGAGCCTCCCCCACATCTTCCTGGGGAAGCCCCGACCAACAAGACCCCAAAGGGGAGCCAGGGCCAGAGTCAAGCGGATGATGGGAAGAACAGTCACAGGGGTCAAGGTCCAGGGAGGTCACTTGGCAGGTCAGGGGTCATGGGGCCAGGGAGGGTCCTGAAATTGGGGGGACATGGAATCATAGGGTGGCGTGGCCATGGAACCCCTGGTAAGAGGTCAGAGGATCACACACTGCCTGTCTGCATCAAATACAGACTCCATGGTGGGAGGGAGCTGTGGGGTCATTGGAGGGGTTGTAGGTCACTGATGGGGTTACCCTGCTTCGAAAGCAGGGCTAGTGCTGGTTCTCTGAGGTCTGGTTTCTGAAGAAAAAAAAAAACAGGGGAAAAAAGTCCTTTGATCTCTGTGTGGGTGGAAGGTAGCTAACACTATCCCCAGACTTCAGGGGGTGCCGAAGAGAGGAGGCCATGCATCTGCAGGACTGCCAGGTCAGGATCGACTCTGTCATTCTGATGCAGGAAGTTGGGTGGGACTTGTCCTCTTTACAAAACCCGTCACTCCTCCCCACCTAAACCCAAGGTAATAGTCCTTTTCTGACCAAGTGAGAAGCTTAGGTAGGCCTCCATCTTGGTGGAACTTGGGTTCTCAGGGGGAACGCCTTCTCCTGCCAACAGTGAGGCCCAGCTGGGCTGCAGCTGCCTTTGCTGCCTGCGGGGGTGCCTGATGCAGGAAGGCCTGAGCAGAGACAATTAATGGGCCTTTGTTGATTTTGCCCTGTTTTCCCTTTGTTTTTTCTTTTCCCTGGCCTGAGAGCTCCTTCTGGAATTTCTCTTTAATTAGATACTTTCCAGCATTCCTCTCTGAGGGGGTGCACATCTCCGCCCTCCCCATGTGAGTCTGTACTACACCCTCTGGCTAGGCATGTGCACATGCCCCTACCTGCAAACAGGCACTTGCATGCACGGGGGGGTATCTGGCCCCCCTGGCGGCATCAGTGTCATGTTTGTGCAGGAGGCTATAATGCGCAAGTCCAGTTGAGTGAGACATGAACAACATGGAAAAGGTGAATGATGGGATCCTTGAGCTCTTGGTCACCTCCCCTAGCACATCTTGGAGACTATTCCCCGGGCCCTCCTCCAAGCCGACCAGGTGGGAACAGGCTGGGGCGCAGGCAGCAGGCCTTTAGACACTGGAACAGGCCTTATCTCCGAGGTGGCTCCTGAAGGCCTCCTCAGCTGGGCTAGCTGTGGAGGAAGGCTGACCTGCCCATTCTCATCAGATGCTCAGAGACAGGGCCAGAGGGGTCACTGGCCTCTCCCTACCCTTCCAAGTCAAAGATTAACTTTGTGGCCTTGAAGAGAGGGGAGGGATGAGGACCTGGCCAGAGGGAGAACAGGACTTTAGAGCATTTATTTAAGAGGTAAAGTTCATCACTGTAGTGGACAGAGCCCAGAGCGGGAGAACGGAGTATGAACAGAGGGAAGGAGGTCCCTGACCCACAGAAAGGGCATCAGCTACTGGTTTAGGGGCTGGGGCAGCTGGAGGCCCCAGGCAAACTGCCTGTTCTCCGCCCCCTACTGTGGAGGCACACCTGTTTACCTTTGGGTCCTATTATTTGCTCGTGCAGGAGGAGGGGGAGCCCTATGGCTAGGAGGAGCGAGTCCCTAGGATTGGGCAGGAGGAACACACCCCAGGTCAGAGGAACCACTCAGAGTGTGGTACATGGCACACTCACACAGACTTACACAAGTCACATGTGTCCAGAGGAGGGTGGTGTGTATGCAAACAGGTGCACATACACATACATAGGCACAGGAGAGCTGTGAACACATGTGCTCACAGGAGATTCATGCACACACACTCACAGGGAGGTTTGTACACACATATGTTTACGTAAAGGGCCTACTGCATATGTTCATATATATTCACATGTAAGGTTACATTCATATGCCCATTCATTCAGCAGGTCACACAGCCTCAAAGGTTGACAAGGAGGGTTGTAAACCCACACATGTGCCTATGAAGGATTGCACACCTATTCACAGGAGGGTCCTACACATATACACATATGTGGAAGGACATGCACACAAATTCATTGATACAGTGGGTCAGACAAAGAAGGGTCAAGTACATGTGTGTTCACAGTCCTCAAACACACAATTACATTTATGCAGAGACACACATATGTGCATACAGGGGTCCAGTTCTCATTGCAGGCTTGGAGGCTGCTGGTGTCCACAAAGGGTGAGATAAAGAGCAGAACCCTCCCTCCCTCCCTCCCCAATGTCCCGATTCTAAGGCCAGATTCCGAGTGTGTGTGTGTGTGTGTGTGTGTGTGTGTGTGTGTGGTGGGGGAAGCTTCTGCCCTCAGATGCTCCAATGGGATAGGTGCAGGGGTCAAGGCTGCTCTGCAGGAAAGGAAGGAGGCCCCTAGTCTTAGCAAAGGAAAGATGGGATGGGTCGCTTGGCACTCTCTACTCCCATGTACACTGCAGTTCTAGTTATGGGAGTTGGGCCTGAGCTCTGAGCCCCCATTTAAAACCTGTTGGGAGAGAAGGCGAGGCTAAGGGGCAACTAAGCTTCAAGGTCTCCAGTCCACACACCACATTCCACCCTTGGTTCCATAGTTTGGGTTCCTCCCCAGGGCCAGTTCCCTAGATTCTGATCACCTTCCCACTTGACAGATCCTAGGGCAGAGGGAACTGAGGAGAGACCCATCCCCCGTAACGAGATCCGTGTAGGATCAGCAGACTCTCAACCTTCATTGGAGAAGTCCACCTGCTTATTGTAAGAGGTGTTTCCCTCTGCCCAGTAGGATGGTGGTCTCTCCTGGCCTGTAAGCCCCTCCCCCGCTACCTCCTTCCTCCACCATCTCCTCCCCGGTTCTCTTCTTTCCTCGGGTCTAACCTCAGTTCCTACTGCTGTAGCTCGAGGACAAGGTCTCCTTCTATCCAGCCGGACGCCAGGAGACGTGACCCAGATCCCGGGGAACACTGCTTGCCATGCGGCCCCGGTTCTGCGCGCTGATCCCCAACTCCACGTTAGTGGGTTTGCGCCCAGCGAGGCTGGAGGCCTCGCCCGCGCCCCTTTACATTTTATGAGGGACTGGGGGACTTGGCGGTGATAAAGGCCTGGCCCAGCTAGGAGGGTGGAATGGATGTGGGGAAGGCCTGGCCTGGCCCCCGCCCCCCCACCCCATCCCCAGCCCAAACACCGCCACCGCCCGCACCCCCTGCCTCTCTCACCTTTGCGCTCGGATCCTGGGCCATAGAGACAGCGACGCACAGCTCTGGGCCCCAAAGCACCAGCTGCAGAATGAAGGGGCCGCGGTCAGAGGCGGGGCGGGGGTGGAGGCGGAGCCACCGGTGGGGCGGGGCCTGGAAGGTGGGACCAGGAGGCCGGGCGGACTGGGTGGGGTGCCGAGGAAGGTGCTGCTCTCTCCTTTGCTCCTGCACCCCTACAATAGAGACAGTTTAAGGGCGATGGCGTTCCCCGCCCACAAGGTCGGAGGCCCCGGTATTGCCCCCTGGTGGTGGTCTCATTACAATGAATACCCTCAACGGCTCATAGCCCACCTTCTCTCCCCTCTAGCCCTAGGACCCTTCCGACTTTCCTCCTACAAGAGACACACAAACCTGTCCTCTGGGGGCTACAAATTATCCCAGAGCCCGTGGGCCTGAAAGCCTGTCCTCGCTTCTTGAGTTTCTGCCACCTCTTGTGCTCTCTGCCTAGGGTGCAAAGAGCTACAGTTACGTGGAGACCAAGCATTGGGGCAGCTCCGAACACAGAATAGGGTCTTCTCAGCTCAAGATCCCTGGGGTCCCCTGGTCCTTCAGCCTGAGATCTGGGTGGGTGAGGGGGTGGGAGTCAGGCCTGAAGGGATGAAGTGACAGCCCGACCAGAAGTACACACAGAAAATGCTGTTTTTCTGGATAGATAAGCCACAACCATTTGTACCTGTCCACTCAACCAAAACTCCGACATAACTGGGATACACCTACCTCCTCAGGGACTGGGTCACTCACACACCTGCCTTCCCTCCCAGCTCACCTTGGACATCTTTCTTACTCCAGATCTTTCCGTGAACTCCTCCTAGGCAATAAAACATCCTGACCTCCCTTTGCTCAATCACCTTAATAGCACTCCAGAATGCCTCCTCAGAATCAACCCCCCAACTCCTGTAACTCGACTAGGATGAGCCTCCCATGCAGATTGGTTTTTCAGCTTCCCTTCACCTTGGGCAGTGCCTTCTTCCCACTGCCTATTAAAGGCCCCTCTAGGGTTGCCTCAAACCCAAGCTCTAGACATGACCTGGCCCGATCCTCCCTCTCTCACCCATGACAGTATTAATATGGTCCCAACAGCGGGACCGAAATGATGAAGGCCACGGGGCACAGGTAACTAACTTACGTGCCTAGGAGTCTGCGCTCTGGGGGAACAGAAGGTAGGGGAACAGGTGGATGAGCACTGGCCTGAGAGCCGGTGAACAAGACTCAAGAGGCTCTGTCATTTGAAGGGGCCCAGGAAACACACATCATCCTTCTTTTGCTGAAGTTCCCAAAGCTCAGTCTGGCACTTCTGTATACACAGTCTCGTAGTTTGGGCTGCCGTGTGTGACTAGGCAGCAGGGCCCACATCACACTTCCGCCTCCCCCGGCACTCTGCAAATAGGATGCGTGTGTATGGAGGGGGAGGCAGCGGGGGAGAAATGCTTCGAGTGTGCACACATATCTACGCCGAGTGCCAGCTTTTTTTTTTTTTTTAAGTTTTTATTGTATCTTCATTCCAATCTTGAGGGATTAACAACCTTATTTTATAGATGGGAAAAGAGGCTCCAAGAGGTTAAATAACCTGCCTTGAAATTATACTTGTGTTTACAGAGAGGACAATGAGGACTGGGAAAGCCTGAGAAGAGGGGAGCAAGGCAAGCCTGAAGGGGTATCATCAGAGCAAAGGCGGAAGTGTGTAGGCTTGTGTTGCGGAATAGGTAGAAGGGACACGGCAGGAGAGGAAGGTGTGTTTGATCTGATGAGATGGGAGGATTCCCAGGAGGTAACAGAAGGGCAAATCAGCTAATAGTTTTGAAAAGACCACAGAAGAAAATTCTGAAAGAGCTGACCAAGAAAGGAAGTCCAAGCTGGAAGACTGGGAAAGACATGGCTAAGAAAAAAAAATCTGCAGTCCTCATGGGAAAGTGTGTTGGGGGTGACAGTGGAGGAGGGATAGGAAAACTGCTGGCCCCATAGTACCAGACAGGAGAGCAATTAAACCGCAGGGGGCCCCAGCGGGCTAAGGGACTCAGCACTTCATGAACTCACACCGGCGACTTCATATGTACTTCAGGAGGTGGCAAGTAGGCTGAAGTGATTTGGTGGTAGGTCCGGCATCTCACTCACCTAGTGTCTATGAGGCATGCCTTTGCTCCTCTAAGGTGCTCTGATGGCAGACTCAGAACCTCACACATTTTCAAATGAGCAAAATGTCTAAATCCCAACGTGGACTTCCAGCACAGCACTTGCTACACTGTAGTTGGGCAGTTACTTTTGTACCTCTGATAATATAGATTCAGACCACAATGCATTTCTCTCTGCTGTCCTTACACTTAAATCTCTGAACCTAATGAAATGATCAGATGTGACTGCAATTAATGGAACTTTCTGTAGGAAGCCCCTTTGATAATACTCCTCTTTGCAAATCAGGCTGATAAGATATGAATAGAGAAGATGGACAGGGGAGGAGACTCAAAAGCAAACCAAGAAATTAACCTAAACCTAGCCATCAACGTGTGTCCGGGAACACAGGCAGGCCATTCTTTGAGAAGGTCGTTACTTATCCTTAGTCACTACCTTGGCTGTCTCACAGGGTGGCTGTGCGAGGACCCCGTTTGAAAACCTGGTGCATTTCACGGACACAACCCCAGAGTGTAGGTTTTGTTTTTGCTGGGCTATCCTCCCCAGCTCTTTTGTAGGAAAGTGGCCTATGGCAGTGCTGGCTGAGCTCAGCCATCCACACACCAGGTTTGGCTCCAGGCTTTGCAGAGTAGTTACTCACTGTAGCAGGGATCCTAGGTGTAGGGGTAGGTATGCACTTCTGAAACTTGAGCAGAGGTTCCCTGAGGCAAAGGAACTCTGGCCTAGTCAAGTTGTCCTGCTGGGAGCTCACTGTGGCAGCATTTGTCCCTACTTTGCCATCTCCACCTCTGGTTCGCCCAGCACTCTCCCTTTGGGTGGTGTGATCTTTGTTTTGGCCACATTACAGCTGAGGTGCTTCTTCAGTTGCGACTGTCACCAGTGCAATAGTGCTGTAGTCTCACTGTTCCACTGTGTTTCAGAAGCCTGTTTTGCCTGTTAAGTTTTCCTCCCAGCCAGCAGTCTTGGAGTCAGACCTAAAGCTGGGCCTTCTGGTTTGACCTCTCTTGACTCCAGCCTGGGGAATTGTTAGCAAGGAGAAGGGAGTGTCAGGACATGTCCATAAATGTTGGAAAGTCACCACCCACCAGCCCTTTCTCAGCTTCAGCATGCTGGGTTTTAAAAAGTCACAAACTTAAATTTTTTTACCAGCAGAGACAGCTGAACAGTCTCTGGGGCTGTCAGAAGGAATAAAAACAAATAGTTTTAAGAAATATGGTTTGCTCAGGTATCAGTGAAGCCCAAGTACCTTAAGATCAATTTCATGATCTAAGAAGAGCCTGAACTTAAGAGCTAATAATAGCTAGCTAGCACTTACTGAGTTCTTGCTATATGCCAGGAACTTTGCTAAACACTTATCATGCATTAGTTCATTTAGCCCTCACAAACACCTCAGGTAGACACCGTTATTACTCTATTCGACAGATAAAGAAACTAAGAGAAGTTAATAACTTGCCAAGGATCAAACAATGGCTATGGTGACCTGAGGTCAGGACGAAGAGCAAGGTCAAGGCCCATAACTTGTATAAGGCTGTGATGCCTGCCTCCCAGTGAGTTCTTTGGCAATGCCTCTGCTTTTGCCTGGGCTTTCACCAGGACCTCTCTATGCTAATGCTGGAGAAAAATGCTCACAAGCCATATTTTAACTAGCACGTCAGAAGGGAGAAATACTGACACGGTTCTGGAACCCGAGGCCTGTGTCAACCCTGCCTAGCCCTTCTGTGACTTCACAGGAACAGCTCCATTGAGGACGTGTCAACCTATGTCTCCCCCCATTCCTCCCCGGCATATCCAGGGCTGTGTCTTCCTGGTGGGCTGGAGGTGATCCTGAGCCCTGCCTCCGTACTGGCTTCTCCTCGACCCTAGAACAAGGGGGCCAGGTCAAGGGTATTGTTTTCCAGTCTTCTTTTCCAAATAACAGAAAGTATTTTCATCTGGACAGCAGCAGGTAAGATTCACGAGACCTATGTGTTGTACACCACTGAATCCTAAAGAGTGTCTAGCAGGCAGTGGGGACTCAGCAGTCACTGAACATAGTGGAAGAGATAAGAATGAGGTTACTGAATTCCTGACTGCAAAGTATACAGCAAATTACTTTAACTGCGTTATATAAAAGTGAACTGTGTACAACTATGGCTTTAAGTATGTCAGAAACAGGAAACATTAACCAACCGACCAAACCAATGGGAGAATCCAAAGCAAGAGGAAGAAAGGAAGAAATTGGTTTAAAAAGCAGGGGTTGGAGCAGGGGAAGACACAGGACATTCCAGATATTTCACCATCCCCACTCCCAAACAAATACTACTAAACACATGTTCAAACTGAGAAAAAGCCGTTTTAATAACACACACATACATTCATAGGACTTTAAACAAGATGTAGTATAAAATCCTAAAAAATAAAAAAACAAGGAAAGGAAAACAAAGAAAAAAGAAACCTGCCTCTACTTGTAAACTGCCTAAGAGCTGGTGGGTGACCGGCTGACAGGACTGCCCAGGGAAAAGAAACACAGATAGTGAGGTGCGCCGACACCGCCAGTGAGCACGAAATAGCCACGGGTCACGCTCTGCATGTCCGACCACCTGAACTCTAATCGTGTCTCCTCAGAGGCACGCCAGGACAGTCCTTCCCTAATTCTCAACTCAGTCACTTATGGGTCACCTCTTAGATTTTTACTTTTTAAAGTTTAAAAATTAATCTTGGTTTAAAGACTCCACACATTATTACTGGCCGGTCCCCACCAACTACACTTGTTTTGACACAAACAGAAAAGCAAATGTTCCAACTGGGTCTGGATGATGACACACCATTTTCTATCTTTTATATCTGGGGAGATTTTTGTGAAGTCAAAAGCAAGCTATTACTTATCCTCAAAACAAAAACAAAACGCCAACCTTCCAAAAGGCGACAAAGGCACCACTGCCATCAGGAGATAGACAGAAAATGTACAAATGCTGTTACTTTACTGCTACACAGATGCATTTTGTGCATGGAGCGCATCTTCACTTAACATGGTATAACTAATAGAGTTGTATTTTCGGATAACAAGAAATGCAGTTTAGAAAAGGCAAACAGTTACACACAAAAGCATAAACACTTACAAGTATCTTAAATTTCAGCTTGCAATAAGGGTAATAAGTTTGACATACATATCCAGAAAATTAGACAAGGTGATTTTTGGCACAGTAATACTGCCAAACACACCACCACTCAGTGCAAGCTTTGTTTGCCAAGTCTCAAAAGTGGCCTGACATTTTCTGTGCAATGAACATTTTCTCCCCCACAACCATCCCTTTTCACTGGGTGGGCAACAACAGCAGGAGGGAGACAAAGCAAGGGGACTCAAGAGGAAGAAGGGTAACACTTGATTTGGGAGAAAAAACATGGGCTACTTGTGCTAAAAGAGAATCACACAACTTTTATGAGAACCCGAATGCAAATACTAACTGGAATATGACCTGGAGACTGAAACATCTACCAGAGTCATAAATGCAAAGGTCCAAACAGATGTCTGGCCATTTATTTTAAAGGGACACATGAAGTATTTTTCTCTAATGGAGAAAGATAATTAAAAATAGAGACTTTTCTTATTGGAACTGCTAAATAAAAATGTATCAAAGTGGTTTTAAATTTGATGAGCAGTTACCTGTTGAAACTGCAATACAAAAGGGTCACTTAAAAAAAAAACCTGAATAACCCACTTGTCCCCCCATCAATGTACACGATAGAAAATATTTACACACTGTAATTACAAGCAATATAAGCAGTATTTTATACTTTTGAAACTTTTTACACTTTACACAATGCAAAATGAGAAAAATATGAACACTTATAAAATTACACACAAATAATGTATCTACAAATTATTAAATTACAGAGTGTGAAAGCCCCCATTGTTGGGCAGATAGATGCCAGAGTTTCAAGCTTCTGTCAAATATAACTCTTTGTATCTTTGTATTTATCTCATTAACCGTAAGTGGCATTTTCTAACAATACCCTTGAGAGGTAGTATCAAGATAATAATATTCTTACCAGTAAACTCAACACAGAATAAAACTTTTGTTGGCCTGACAAGGTTCTCAGGAACTGGATTTATTTAGTCTTACCTAGAAAATCTCTAACTGCTCAATGCTTGACATGGGCTCAAAAATTATTTATGCTACTTTAAATGATACATTTAAGATAAAATGTGTTTTACTCTTAAGCCTCAATTTAGAGGTAGAAAGCTATTTTCAAAACTTATTTTTTCCGTTCTCAAACTACAAACATCAAATCTAATTCCCTTCCTCACCACCACCTTTCCCCTCACACTTGGAGACCTCAGGGTGCTCAGGATAGCTACTAGCAACGTCATCCAAGTCAATACTGGAAAAAAAAAGTTGGCATTTTCTTTTTAGAAATTTTCCTAAAAGGGACACTCAGTCAACAAAAGAATTTTTCAGTTAGCTAGTAAGAGTTTATTACTACCAAAGGCTTCAAAGGGCCCTTGGGCTAAGACCAGCACGTGCACTTTTACTAACCCTCCACCATTTAAACAAAGGCTGGCTTTCCAGTGTTTAAGAATTTAGAGCAGCTGTGGTTCTCAAGTGCAACTTTAAAATACAAGCACAAACACGTGTGTGAGTGCACACATGCGTGCAGTGTCGTAAAGAATAACACCATCCAGGTCTCTGCCAAGGTTATATACTCATGAAAATAAGGTTTCTGGAAACTTGTCCAGATTTTTAAGCTTTTACAATAAAGACTTCTATAATATGGCTACTAAGGGGCCAGAATTCTATGATTTAACTAGTATTTTAAAAAATGCACTGGAAATTAAAAACAAACTGCATATTTTGGCATGAAAACAGAGCCATTATTTTGTAGCTTAACCTCTTCCCCTTAACGGAATCTGACAATATACCTTCTGTTTCTCAAATGTTTGTTTAAATGTATTTAAAAAACCTAACAGATTTATAATCTTGAATAGTGAAGGAAATGGATGGATGGAACCCTCCCTGTTTACAGGAGTTACAGAAGAGATTTATCCTTTTTGTTACTAAACTCAATTTTGAGTTTTTCCATTGAGTCTTAAAATAACTAAAAGGGAAAATTAAAACCAACTGGAACTTGGTCTTGGTTTCCATGTTTAACTCCTCACATTGGTCCAAATCTTTTCTCACATATTTTCTGTGATTATCCAAGTGACACAAATACAGAGGAAAAAAAAGATAACAGGCTTATAATTTAACAGCAGAGTTAATAGGGGCAGGTTAGACATGCAACTATTAGCTGCTTCTACACTTCCAGTCCGTTATAGGATGCTGCTCTTTTAAAAGGCCAATTACCTAAATAAGCAGATTGTGTTTCATATCTGCTTCAGAAATGGCAATTTTTTTCTTTTTTAAAAAAGATTTTATTTATTTACCTTTAGAGAGGGAAAGGAAGAGAGAAAGAGGGAGAAAAATATCAACGTGTGAGAACTGGGGCCCTGGCCCCCGACCCAGGCATGGGCCCTGACTGGGAATCGAATTAGCAACCTTTCGGTTTGCAGGCCGGTGCTCAATCCACTGAGCCACACCAGCCAGGGCGGCAATTTCTTTATTACCAGCTTCATACTAGATACTCAAGTGGCACACTTGCTGCACATTTTCTTAGCATTCCACTGGTTTTTGTAGTAATCCCTTCTACTCCTCTAGGAAAGGCTCTTATTGAACTTTTCTTGGTTCTTATTTTTGCTGTTGCAACTCCTGTTAAGAATCTGGTACCCAGAAGTCATGAAGCTGCCCCTAGAAAACAGAAGGGGAAAAAAAACCAGGATAAAGAAAATCCAAATTATGAATAATCTTTATAAAATATCTCTTTATCAGACAATGGACTTTGATAATGAAAGTAAAAAAAAACTTTATACTTTATATTTCTCTGAAAATTTGTGGTAATCAGATTCAAGTTTTACATTTTGTGGTCTAGCAATTAAAAAAATATAAAATAAGTACAAGATGTTTTCTGTTCATCAACAAACGCATAGAGAATCATATTTAAGAAGATTTAAGTAAAACTGTTAAGCTAATAGAAAGTTTTAGTTTTAAATTCTTTTCTATTTTAATGCCACATCAGCTAAGATGGTCAGCCTGGAAAAGGTCTACCGAAGTTAGAAACAACAACAAAACATTACCTTAAGATTTATTAAAGACTCTTCTAAAATGGTGTGCACATCTTAGGAAGGATACCAACAACAAAAGTCAAAATGTCATAGAATAGTGAGATTGCTTTTGTAATTAATATTCAGTGTTCCTGTTACTTTGATTAAAAAATATAAACAACTTTTAGGTCCTGTCTACTGCAAGTATGGTCCCTGGATCAGCAGCATGGGCATTAATCTGAGAACCTGGTGGAAATGCAGAATAGCTCAGGTCCCATTCCAGACCTACTGAATAAAAATCTGCATTTAAACAAGTTCCTTGTTGATGCTTATGCACATTAAAATTTGAGAAGCATCATTTTAGACAATCCCAGATCAGTTCGTTTATAAACAACATGATAGCAAACTTAACAGCAGGTATTAAACAATGCCCCTCTTGAAAGCAAAGTCTCCTTAGACATGATACCAAAAGTGTGACAAAAGAAAAAAAAAATAAACTGACTTCATCATAATTAAAAAGTTTTGTTCTACAAATGATACCATCAAGACAATAAAAAGACAACATACAGAATGAGAGAAAATATTTGCAAATTATACCTAATAAGAGACTTGTATTTAGAGCATTTGGGAATTCTTACAAATCAATAATAAAGATAAAAACCAAAGTTAAAAAAAATGGACAAAGAATCTGAATAGACATTTCTCCAAAGAAGCTATATGAATGGCTAATAAGCACACAAAAAGTGCTTATTAGTCATTAATGAAATGCAAATTAAAACCACAGTGAGATTCTACTTCCAACCCCCTACTCTGTCTTTAATCAAAAACAAAAACCCAAATAAGAGGTAGACAATAATGTAGAAAAATCAGCCTGGCTGGCATAGCTCAGTGGATTGAGCGCGGGCTGGGAACCAAAGTGTCCCAGGTTCGATTCCCAGCCAGGGTACATTCCTGGGTTGCAGGCCATAACCCCCAGCAACCGCACACTGATGTTTCTCTCTCTCTCTCTCTCTCTCCCCACCGCCTTCCCTCTCTAAAAATGAATAAATAAAATCTTTAAAAAAAAAAAAAGAGTGAGGTCAAGAAGAACAGTTCAGAGACTATTAAAAAAAAAAAATCAGAAACCTCATATATTCTGTTGGGAATGTAAAATAGTGCAGCTATTGTGGAAAACAGTCTGGTGGTTCCTCAAAACATTTAACATAGAATTACCACATGACCCAGCAATTCTATTCCCAGGTATATGTCCAAGATATTTTCACTTGAAAACATATATGTTCACACAAAAACCTGTACACACAAACCAAAGGGTTGCAGGTTCAATCCCCAGTCAGGGCACATGCTTGGGTTGCAGGCCAGTCCCCAGTAGGGGACACCTGACAGGCAACCACACACTGATGTTTCTCTCCCTCTCTTTCTCTCCCCTTCACTTCTCTCAAAAATAAATAAATAAAATCTTAAAAAAAAACAAACAAACCTGTATACAAATGTTCATGAAAGCATTATTCATAATAGCCAGGAAGTGGTAACAACTCAAATATCCATTTAATAAGTGGATAAATCAAATGTGATATATCCATACAATGGAATATTAGTTAACAATAAAATGGACATAAATGCTACAACATGGATTCAGTTAGCATTGTTATGTGAAAGAAACCAGTTATAAAATACCACATAGTATATGATTTCATCTACATGAAATATAAAGAACAGGCAAATCTATTTAGACAGAAAGTCTGTAGTTGCCTGGGCCTTGGTGGAATAGAGATAGGAGTGCAGGTAGTTGGGGAATGGGGAGTGACTGCTAATGAGTGTGAGATTTTCTCTCTTTTTGGAGTGCCAAAAATGTTCTAAAATTAGACTGTGGTGATGGCTGCACAAGCCTGTATATACAAAAATCACTGTATACTTTAAATGGGTAAAATGTATGATACATGAATTTTATCTCAAGCTGTTAAGAAAAATGATTCTTGTGAAATAAACTCTACTTAATGCAATTTAACATTTTAAAATGAGCTTTAAAATGAGCTTTTAACATTTTAAAATTTATATTAACAGGTTTAACCACCTGCTAACATAAATTAATGAATATGAAGCCAACAAAAACTTAAAAAAAAAATCAAATAAATAAATAAATAAATAAATAAATAAATAAATAAATAAATAAATAAATTAGGGCTTCCGGCCAAGATGGAGGTGTAGGTAGACACACTGTGCCTCCTCACACAACCAAGATAGGGACAACAATTTAGAAATAAAATAACAACCAGAACTGACATGAAATTGAACTGTATGAAAATCAGACAACCAGGGAGTTAAAATATACACGTTCAGCCAGACTGGTAGGAGGGGCAGAGTCAGGCAGCTGGGCAGAGAGGGATCAAGGCACAAAGAGCTGTAGGACCGGGCACATAAAGCACTCTGGGCACGCAAGACTGCAGCAGGAGGACCCTGGGCACATAGGCGGTGGCTGGCAGACCCTGGGCACCGGGTGGCAACTGACAGACCCAGCAAGGCAGCGATTGTGAAGCGAGGCACTGTGCGCAACCCAGGGTCCCAGCGCTGGGAAATAGAACCTCGGGGCACTGCCTGAAAACACCTGTGAGGGTTGAGGTACAGGGAGAGACTCCCAGCCTCACAGGAGAGTTTGCTGGAGAGACCCACAGGGTCCTAGAACGTGCACAAGCCCACCCACACGGGAATTAGCACCAGAAAAACCCAGTTTGCTTTGGGGAGGTGGCGGAAGGGACTGAAGTCTGACAGAGAGAGGAGCAAATGCCCTTGTTCCCTCTCGGACCCCACCCCCACATACAGCATCACAACCCAGCAACTGGGTTGCCTCACTCTGGTGAACACCTAAGGCTCTGCCCCTCTGGGAAGAAAACTGGGACTCAAATCAATGGAGTGGACCAGAAGGAAGAAAGAAACAACCAAACAGAAAAGAATGAAGAAACAAGAACTAAAAAAATGAGGAGAGGCTTAGGAACCTCCAGGACATCTTTAAATGTTCCAACATATGAATTATAGGGGTACCAGAAGGGGAAGAGGGAGAGCAACAAGTGGAAAAGTTATTTGAACAAATAATAAAGGAGAACTCCCCAATCTGGCAAAGAAAAGAGACTTCCAGGAAGTCCAGGAAGCTCAGAGTCCCAAAGAAGTTGGACCCAAGAAGAAACGCACAAAGGCACATTATAATTACATTAGTCAAGGTAAAAATGAAGGAGAGAATCCTAGAAGCAGTGAGAGATAAGGAGACAGTAACCTACAAAGGAGTTCCCATCAGACTGTCAGCTGATTTCTCAAAAGAGACCTTGTAGGCAAGAAAGGGCTGCGAAGAAGTATTCCAGGTCATGAAAGGCAAGGACCTACATCCAAGATTGCTCTATCCAGCAAAGCTTTCATTTAGAATGGAAGGGCAGATAAAGTGCTTCTCAGATAAGGTCACATTAAAGGAGTTCATCATCACCAAGCCCTTATTTTATGAAACGCTAAAGGGATTTATCTAAGAAAAAGAAGATAAAAAAAAAACATGTATAGTAAAATGACAGCAAACTCACAAGTATTAACAACTGCACCTAAAACAAAAACAAACTAAGCAAATAACTAGAACAGGAATGGAACCACAGAAATGGAGATCACATGGAGGGTTAACAACAGGGGAGTGGGAGAAGGAGAGAGGGGGAAAAGGTACAGAGAATAAGTAGCATAGATGGTAGGTAGAAAATAGACAGGGGAGGGCAAGAGTAATACAGAAGCTAAAGGACTTACGGCACATGGGCATGAACTAAAGGAGGGAATGTGGGTGGGTGGGAGAGGGTGTGCAGGGTAGAAGGGAATGAAGGGGGGGTAATGGGACAACTGTAATAGCATAATCAATAAAATATATTAAAAAAGAAAAATTATACTGGATAAACTATAGTAGTACAAACTATTATGCTGGAGTTTTCAGTTTATCTTAAGATCTAGAAGCAAGTGCTCTGTCATACTTTTTTCAAACAATATGAAGAAACACCATTCAGCAAAACTATAAAGAATAAATGAAACTGTTAAATAAAATGACACCTGAATAGGCCGACAGTTCTGGATTATTTCCTGCCATTTTCCATGTATCCTGGCAACCAAGTCTTTTACCTTAAAAATATCAAATAGGGAAAAAGTAATCAGATTAAAACATTCTCACCTAAAATCAATTTAAGGCTTTACATAAAAGATCTGGTAACTATGACAGGCCCAAACTCAATGACTCAATTTGATTTTTGTCAAGAAACAAAAAATAAACTACTCATTTTCTGGAAAGGCTTTAAAATAATAGTGATTAATACAACTTTTCTTTATCACTATAATCTAAAATACTGAATGCATAGGACTCCATTTTCCCATTAGTTACTAAAGATCATCCAGAAAACATACTCCCACCCTGGCTGGTGTGGCTCAGTGGATTGAGCACTGGCCTGCCAACCAAGATTGCTGGTTTGAGTCCCAGCCAGGGCACTTGCCTGGTTGCAGGCCAAGTCCCCAGTTGGGGGCATGAGAGAGGCAACCAATCAATGTTCCTCTCCCTCTCTTTCTCCTTCCTTTCCCTTCTCTCTAAAAATAAATAAGTAAAATATTTTTTAAAAATCCCAACATATTCCCTACTTCAACACACATAAACTTTCACCTTGCTGGCTTCTGAACACTCAGATACAGAAGGTAAAGGGTAGCCTTTGTTATAGGGCCCAAAACATAGGCTGTTACCTGCCTTCCTAGCTTCTATTTGAAAGACTCAAGGCCACAAAGAATGGCTTTCATTAGTTCCTTTCCACATTATCAAAAGATCCAAAAATTCATTGTTATACCCCTCTAGGTTTTTGTAGAGTATGATGAATCTTCTTTAAATACTCAGTATATTCTGACATTTCAAGGTTTAGTTTAACAAATCTTTGTGTAAAATCCAAACTTTCCTACCACTCTAGAGATTCTCAATTAGCTCTTGAACATAACTGCCTGAGAAAATGTTTTAAACAAGTCAGGAATTTTATAACTACTTTAAGTTAATAAAGTAAATTGCAAGGTCTGCTTTTTCCTCCATTTAGAGTTCAGTAGATTCAGTTTCTTCAAACAATTACCACCTTTCTACTAGAGGACTGTGGAGAGAGGCAGGCAACTCAATTATTTCAGCAGGGCCATCCCCTAAGCAATTTCCACAGACCTCTATGTTGTTCTCCACTCTAAGTAAGGGGAACCCTGACATCAATCTATGCCCTGCTCCTGGCTTTAAGAAACAAAAACCTTGAGTGGTCTCCTTTTAGCACATCTGTCAGCAGCAGCCACTACTACCAAGTTCTACGGGCCAGTAACTCTAGTTAGTGTTCAAAAGAATGTGCTTCTAAAACTATGGTTTCCATTCTAAGGCAAAGAGCTATCCTCTACATGTATTTGAAAATCTGCAACCAGATACTTCATTAGTTGCTCATTTTTGTATTTAACTTAGATCTACTAAAATAAATATAGATACTAAATCCAAATGGGCTAACCTTTACAGGCAATTAATGTAAGATATAAAGTTACAAAGCTGATTTTTTACATTCAATGACTATCCAAACATAGGGGCAAAAGAAATCAGCTTTACGTTACAAAAGCTAAAAGATAATTTGGAATAATGAAATCATTAAAAGAAATGTTTTTTAAAAAGTGTTAAGTTAGCGTTTTCAGAAAAAACTACCATATCATTTTATTAATACTAAAATTGTTTTCCTAACTCCATACTCAGATATTGTACTTACCTTTTCTATTGTTTGAATACACTAAGCCCTTAAGAAAAAAGTTGAGCCAGCTTACTGCTGAATCATTTCCATCCTTGAGCTCAGACTGGATGATGTAGAGGACTCAGGGATTTGAAGAGTGCTTCCTCTAACACATTCTCTAGTGGAATATTTAAAGAATAACACCTTGCCTATTTTTTTTCTATGAACAAAACAAATTTTTAACTATCACACAATTTTATAGCCATTTTTTAAAAACTTACATATATTTACTTAAACAATGCTTTAATTCTTGAAGCTAACTTAAGCATGAAGGTCTTAACTTGTACATAAGTTTCATTAGTATTAGAATTTTTCTCCTTAGGTGTCAGGAGTTTCAGAATAGAAAGCATAATAAAATTTAAAAATTTATCTGCTTTAAGATGTTTTTCCTTTCACTTTCAATCTAGCTAGAAGTACTTAACAGAAACTGATTTCGGTTATTAAAGAAGGAAATAATATTTCTAATCTTATATATTCATTTTATATGCTTCTCTTCCTCAAATATTAATGTAACCAATGTTAAAAACAAACACACAAAAAATTAAAACACACACTTACCTTAGTTCTATAGAACAGTCTTGCATCTTCCCTAATATCACACTTAACATGCTTTTCCAAAGCCCCGCAGAGGTGCACGAAGTGTTTCTATGCAAAACAAACACAAGGAATTAAAACCACTTTGAAGCCCTACAAATTACTAGAACTAAAAAGCATTTAAAAATCTACCATTCTCCAGTAAGTAATTTCTAATTTAACTATCCAACATAATAGTAATCATACCACTGAAAATAGTAACTGCCAGGACAATAAGACTGGTATGGCTTACTGTTAGTTAATACAAAAAACATATACAAAAAAAATAAAAGCTGGTTTTTGCTATGTATTGAAGCACATTAATGGAAATTAACCCTAGAGCTTAAACTATGATATAATGCCCCAAAATTTAAAGAGGACTTTCTTTCACACATTTTCTCATGAAATACTCAAATAACAGCTAAACTATTTTTCTCTATAAACTACTTTAATATTAGTTCCTTAAAAAATTAAGTTTTAAGTTTTAGAAGTGTATAGTCCAAAAGAGTCACTCTCATACATATACCAAGATTCCATATATTAAGGTAAGAATGTGAATTGGTACTTTTGGGGAGAGATATGTGATAATAGCTATCTTTAAATAATTAAAAAACAATTCTAATCCTTGCCAGGGGATACATTCGTTGACTTTAGAGAGAGAGAATGGGGTTGGGGGAAGGGAGAAAGAGAGAGAGAGAAAGACAAACATTGATGTGAGAGAGAAATAATAATTAAAATTTATAAATTTTATAACCTTTGATCTAGCAATTCTACTTCTAGGAATTTACCCTACAGAAATGTTTACATAGGTTGATAGAGATATATGAATAAGAATATTCATGTCAGTACTGTGGGTAATCACAAAAATGTAATGTTCATCAACAAAGGTTTTAAAATAATACAGTTTTTAGACAAAAGGGCTAATATCTTAAAGCAGTGATTTCAACTGGTGTGCCACAAATTTTTAAAACATGCAACACCTTTCAGGGGTACTAACCTCCATTCCTTTAGATTGTCAAATAAAATAATGACATCAGCCAACACCACAATAGCTGTCCTGTGTGAATGAATCAAAATTGTACATTTCTTTTTTTGCCAGGCTGGCAAAAAATACATTTTTTGGTATGCCACAGAATTTTAGTTAGTTTACGTGTGCCATGAGATGAAAAAGGTTGAAAATTGCTTCTGTATAGCAAATTCAAAGTTAACTTTTATTAAATTTTCCTCTATATAAACAATGTTCATAATTTAGTTCAGCCACTATGGAGAACACTATGGAGGTTCCTCAAAAAGTCAAAATAGAGCTACCATATGACCAAGCAATCCCTCTTTTGGGTATCTACCTGAAGAAGCTGAGAACATATATTTGTAAAGATATATGCAGCCCTACATTCACTGAAGCATTGTTCACAATGACCAAGACATGGGGACAACCTAAGTGTCCTTGATGTGGTACACATACACAATGAATTACTACTTGGCCATAAGAAAAAATGAAATACTGCCATTTGTGACAACAAAGATAGATCTTGAGAGTATATGCCAAGTGAAGTAAGTCAGACAGAAAAAGAACCATGATTTCATTCATGTGAGATATAAAACAGAAAGCAACAAATAAATAAACAAAACAAAAAACTCATACAGACACAGACAACAGTATGGTGGCTACCAGAGGGGAAGGAAGGTAGAGGAAGGTAGAAGAAGGTAAAGAGGGTCAAATACATGGTGACAGGAGGAGACTTGACTTTGGGTGGTGAACACTCAATGCAATATGCAGATGACATTATAGAACTGTACACTTAAAACTTCTATGATATAAACTTATTAATCAGTCACCCAATAAATTTAAATGAATTTAAAAAGAATGTTCATTCATTCCATCAATAGTGATATTAAAAACAAAAACCACTAAAAATGACTTACGCGTTGTCCAGAAGAAAAAGAATGAGAACAACTAACTTCACCAACTAAATGAAGAAGAATGTAGGTCAGGTAATATGCCTATTGAAAAATGAATAAAATGAACACCAATGAAATTAACTAGCATAGATATTATCCTAGTATATACTAGGAAAGCTGCCCAGGGAAGATTAAGGATTTGCTAAGGTTAACCAAGTTAGTAAGTAGGAAAAGGCATGCATTTAACCTAGGCTTTCAAATTTCTAACTGAAGGGCACTCCTTTTATCTCATGACTGCTCAAATAAAGGGCTACAAAAATATACTCCCAGTATTAAATTACCAATAACCATTTTTTAACCTCAATCCTCAACTCCTAAGTTTACTAAAGAAATTTATGATAGCAATTAAAAAAAACATTAACTTTATAATTGCCTCTAAATGCCTATGCTATAATAGCAGCCTATGGGTAGAAAGGTGGCATCAGTTATGCTCTTATACACTCTTTTGAGATGACCTAGCTTTGGGTACCTGCTTTTCAAGTTCCAAATGCAGGCTGTCATCAATGGTGCCATTTGGTTGTTCAGCTCTTTTCTTCAAGACCATTTTCTTCAACAAATCAGAAGGCTTCATTTGCACAAGATAACGATATAAGACTGATATCTACCAAAAGAAAGACATTGAATAATACTAAGCAATACAGTTGTTCTTTTTAGGCTACTTTTCTTCAGTGTGTTCTCTGTTCATTTTGCCTTCTCTAATTTTGCCCCTTTGTAGCTTTCCTTACAGGCCAGTGATACCCATTTCTCCTTTACTTCAAAGTCCTCAATTGCTTAAAAGGGATTTTAAACATTTAGTACTTGTAATTGAGGATAAAAAAGCTTAGGGACGAGACCAAATGGCATTATAATAGAGATCAAAGAGAGTGCTTTTTCTGTGAAATTATTTGCAAGTCAGCAAAACGGAATTTCCCTGTGAACAGAAGTCATTGAATTCTGAAAAGAATACTCTTTCGATGGCAGTAAATATCACTGAAAGGATTGAGAGCTATTTGATAATGACCCTGGTGACTCAGGAGTGGGTTCCCAATTTATCTGGCATCAAATCTACTTCAACTCCACTAATGCAGAAACCAGCTGTCTCTTTCAATCTCTGTCCCACAGCACCTTGTGCATACTTTTAACACTGCTCTTACTACACTGTACCACAATAGTTGATTTGCTTTGTTTCAACCACTAGGTTAAGTTTTCAAGGGCAGATTCTCTAATTCATTTTTAAAATCCCTAGTTGAGCATCTTGTACTAAACCCCAATTCAAACAAGAATACTACATGTAGATCAGGTTCTATGTTGAGTTTCCAAATACAACTGTAAGTAGCCCCATTAGTGCTATGAATGTTTGAAAAAAGCCTTCAGGAGTTCTTGGAGTGGCACTTGCATAGCACATGTTTATACACACTCATATATACACCCGATATATTTACTACTGGACAAGTACTGAAGGGCAACTGCATTTTAGGCTATACAATTTAAAGACTATTTAATATTAAAACAGGCAGAAGATGCAATTAATGTACAATAGTTTTGCAATTTCTAATCTTTTAAATTTTTTTCTTTTATTGATTCTGGAGAGAAAAGGGAGGGTTTCTCCTCTCCTCTGATCATACTGATTTATTGACAGAGAGGGAGAGAAACATCAGTGTGAGAGAGAAACTTTGATCGGTTGCCTCATGCCCTGACTAGGGAACAAACCTGCAACCTGGGCATGTACCCTGACCAGGAATCAAACTGATGATCTTCAGCTTTGCAGGACGTTGTCTAATCAACTGACCCACAATGACCAGGTGCTCTTATCTTGTCATAAAATTGAAAATCTTCATAATGTGAACTAATTTCATAAATGATGTCACATTTAGCATATTATGATTTCCCCAGTTTTTATACATTAATTCATCTATATGTCCATACCAATCCTATGGAGATGGCTGTGATACCATCTCTATTTCACAGATGAAGTAACTGAGTATCATTAGTTCAGTATCATTCTAAAGATTACATGGATAGTATTATGTCTGAGAGTCACGATCTAACCTCAGGACTTCTGACTCAGAATTCATCCATTTTCCTTAACCTGACTACCTCTTCCCCTTATTATAAGAAACTAGAAATGTTATGTATACCTGCAGATTACTGGTGTTAGGGATATCTTCATGTTTCTCATCCAAAAGCTTTGAAATAATCACTAGGCTGAGGCACTGTCTCAGTTGCCTGGAATTAGAATTTTAGAATGTATTTTAATCAACATTGCTTGAGAAGCAGATGAGTGAGCCAAAAGGAGTTCTTCTAGTCCTGCTAGTTGAAAATATAATGTTTTAAGAGAAGGCTGTACAAAAATATATAAGGTTTAATAGAATAGTAAAATTTCCTTTTTCTTTTTTAAAAAATATATTTTATTATGCTATTATAGTTGTCCCATTTTTTCCTTCCCTTTATTCCTGTCTTCCCTACAGCACCCCTCCCACTAGCATTCCCCCCACTTAGTTCATATCCATGGGTCATATATAAAAGTTTTTTAGCTTCTCCATTTCCTGTAATAGAATAGTAGAATTTTCATATAAAGAGTTGCCCTGGGGTTCAGGCAAATTGTTGAAAGCGTTTATCTTTGACTTATTGCTAGAAAATGTATTTTATTGCCATAATTTCTTTTTACAAAAAACAAAACAAAACAAAAAACCCAAACTAATTTAGTCATTTTTATAGCATGTGCCATCTACATTAAGTTATTAGATAAAATTGAAAATCATGAATAGTATAAAATGATCTGAGTTAAGTATCAGAATCAGGATGTCAATGCCTATTCTCACAGCTGAATATGAAATAAAAGACTGATCTAACATTCAAGGAATGATAAAAGGAAATAAAGGACCCAAAAGCACTTAATTAATGTAAACACTGTACATTTTTCCTAATGTTTAATTCTCACTTTTCAATACCTTCCACGTGATGTCCAGTTAGGGACTAGCTGTACCAACCACAGAAGGTTGTGGGGATGACTGGAGAGTTCATTTATGGCCAGACAGAGTTCAGGCACCTGAAAACAAAAAACGAGTTAAGATTTTTCAGACAGGTGAGTGAAATCAAACATCCAACTGATCATCCGCAATGATCTTGCCATAATATGAGGGCATTCTTATGAAAGGAACACTTATTTTTAGAAACAGCATGGATTCTAGTACCTATTAAAACATACACAGTATACAGACTCAATTTTATCTTAAACTCTAGAACAGACTGAACAGGTACATTTATCAGAATTTCACTTCACTTTCATGTTTTGTGCTACATCTTATATCTATATATACTTAAATGTTAATATACCTTCTAGGAAGAATAAAGTGGCTTAAATACAAGTAACAGTTTCCAAAGGTGTATAATGAGAGTTGAACTAGACCATGTATCTTCCTGGACCTGAGATTTCTTGCATTTTAAAGATCTTTAGCTATTCCAGTAAAGGCTAACAGAATTGCTTCAAAATAACCTCTGAGTAGAGGAAAGAAGTATGGGATGAGGGTAACAGATTATGTCTTGATAATTATGAAGCTGAGTGATAGGTCGGTAGGGGTTAATTAGTCTTTCCTCTATTTTTGCTCTTATTTGATTTTTTTTACTAAAAAGGATTGAAAAATATAACTTATAAATCTAAAAAAAATTATACACATTTAGCCTCAATATGGTTGCAGAAGTTCAACTTAAATTCTTGCATGTGTGACTTGCTCCACCATTTCTTTTAGGTCCCTGTTCAAAGGTCACTTTAGAAAGGCCTTTCTTGACTGCCTCACCTGACAAGATCGGGAGTGTTCAGGGTGGTATGGCCGTAGACCCTCATCTGAACTAGAGCATTCTTTGCCTTGCTACTCTCTTTACCCATGTCCTGTTTTATTTTTTATTTCTAGCGCTATTATACTTGACATAATATTACAACCTACATTTACTTTATTATATAACCCTCTGACTAGGGTAAAACTGCCATGTGGTTATGGGTTTTGTCTTTTTCTCAGATGTATTTCTAGCCTCTCTACATTAATGCTTGGCCCACAGTGACTCCCCAGTAAATAAATTTTTTTTGGTAGAATAAATGGTTGTACTTTTAGAGAAGATTCTATCTTAATGGATTTAAATACAGTTCCAACAAAGACACTCCCTTCCTCAGTTTATTTTTCATGTGCTGAAGGTCTTAATTGAGCTTAGAAACTGTTCTGCATGCACTATGAAAGTCAAACTGTAATGTTATATAAGAAAATCAATACTAAAGTTTTAAGTAATGTTACCTTTGTGTTCCAATCTCTGATGTTTTTCATCAGGTTTATCAGGAGGCTTTGAAAGTCCACTAGAGGAATCTGCTTCAGCTGTTTTTCCAAACTCATTTTAAACAACATTAAAATCAGCAACATTATTTCACGATCCTGGTAACCTTCTGGATGAATAGACGTACATAAACCTAGAAACTTTGACACAAAGGCAGAGACAAAGCAACCTGAAATATATTTTATTTGAAGAGCTTAAAATAAAAACTGTTAAATGAAAAATGCAAAGAAAAATTATGTAAAAAAACCCAGTCATCTAGAACAAAGCAAAAAATACTCATAGAATAAGCACATTATTCAAGTTTTCAAGATTTTTAAAAAATATTTTATTGATTATGCTATTATTTGTCCCATTCCCCCTCCTTTTCCCCTCCACCCAGCACACTCCCTCCCACCCACATTTCCCCTTCTTTAGTTCATGTCTGTGGCTCTTTTTTGGCTTCTACATTTCCTATACCATTCTTAACCTCCCCCTGTCTATTTTCTACCTACCATTTATGCTTCTTATTCCCTGTACCTTTCCCCCATTCTCCACCTTCCCTCTTCCCGCTGATAACCCTCCATGTGATGTCCATTTCTGTGCTTCTGTTCCTGTTCTAGTTGTTTGCTGTTTGTTTTTGTTTTTAGGTTCAGTTGATAGTTGTGAATTTGTTGTCACTTTACTGTTCATAGTTTTGATCTTCTTTTTCTTAAATCCCTTTAACATTTTATATAAGGGTTTGGTGATGATGAACTCCTTTAACTTGACCTTATCTGAGAAGCATTTTATTTGCCCTTCCATCTAAATGAAAGCTTTGCTGGATAGAGTAATCTTGGATATAAGTCCTTGCCTTTCATGACCTGGAATACTTCTTTCCAGCCCATTCTTGCCTGCAAGCTTTGAGAAATCAGTTGACAGTCTTATGTGTACTCCTTTGTAGATAACTGTCTTTTCTTTTGCTGCTTTTGAGATTCTCTCCTCTTTAATCTTGGCTAATGTAATTATGATGTGCCTTGGTGTGTGCTTCCTTGGTCCAACTTCTTTGAGACTTTCTGAGCTTCCTGGACTTCCTAGAAGTCTATTTTCTTTGCCACACTGGGGAAGTCCTCCTTCATTATTTGTTCAAATAAGTTTTCAATTTCTTGCTCTTCCTCTTTTCCTTCTGGCACTCCTATGATTTGGATGTTGGAACATTTAAAGATATCCTGGAGGTTCCTAAGCCTCTCATTTTTTTTTTTTTGAATTATTCTTTCTTCATTATGTTCTGGTTGAATGTTTCTTTTGTCCTTCTGGTCTACACCGTTGATTTGAGTCCATTTCCTTCCTGTCACTGTTCGTTCCCTGTACATTTTCCTTTATTTCACTTAGTATAGCCTTCATTTTTCCATCTAATTTGTAACCATATTCAACCAGTTCTGTGAGCATCCTGATCACCAGTGTTTTGAACTGTGTGTCTGATAGGTTGGCTATCTCTTTGTTGCTTAGTTGTATTTTTTCTGCAGCTTTCATCTGGGCCATTTTTTTCTCCTCGGCATGCCTGTTGCATAGTAAGGGGTGGAGCCTTAGGTGTTCCCCAGGGAGGGGCAACCCACGTGGCTGCATTGTGACGCTGTACGTGGGGGTGCGGTCTGAGAGGGAACAGTGCCGCTTGCTCCCCTCTCTTCTGGTTTTTAATCACTTCCCCTGCTACCCACAATCAAATTGGGTCCTACTGGTGCTGAGTCCTGGGTGGGTGGGTTTGTGTACATTCTAGGACCCTTTGTGTCTCTGCAACAAACTCTCCTGTGAGGCTGGGAGTTTCTTCCACTGCCACCTCAACCCCCACAGGTATTTACAATCAGAGGTTTGAGGCTTATTTCCCCGCACTGAAACTTTGGGTTGAGAAGTCTGCCTCGCTCCCCAGTTGTTCCTCTTGGTTTATCTGCACACCAATGTGGGACAGCCTGCTCTGTCAGCCACTGCCTCGCCAGGTCCGCCAGCTGCCACCTTGCTGCAATTCCTCTCTGCTCAGCTGCCTGTCTCCGCCCCTCCTGCTGGTGTGGATGAATGTTTCTTCTTTAACTCCTTGGTTGTTGGACTTCCATACAGTTCGATTTCCTGTCAGTTCTGGTTGTTTTTTGTTTTTAAATCTGTTGTTGTCCTTCTTTTGGTTGTGCAAGGAGGTACAGTGTGTCTACCTATGCCTCCATCTTGGCTGGAAGACTCTGAAGATTTTCTTTCTAACAGCTCAATATCATTGATTTGATCCAGTCACTAAAAATGTTTTAACAGTTATTCTTAGTCACTAAGTTACACTGTAATATTTTTTCTTCATACATATTAATTCTAAAAAATTATTGGTTTGAAAAATATTAGTTTCAAAAAGCTTCTTTGTAAAGTATTCCTACAACTATTTTAAATATATACTCTGATCTAAAGCTCTCTTTCTTTCCTAATATTAAAACAAAAATAAAAACAGCAAACATAACCTTCAGTTTTTTTTTTTTGAAGATTTTATTTACTTATTTTTAGAGAGAGGGGACGGAAGGGAGAGAGGGAGAAAAACCACACATCAACATGTGGTTGCCTCTCACGTGCCCCACACTGTGAACCTGGCCCGAAACCCAGGAATGTGCCCTGCCTGGGATAGAACCAACTACCCTTTGGTTCTCAGGCCAGCACTCAATCCACTAAGCCACACCAGCCAGGGCCAAAGATAAACTTTAAAACAAGATTATTGCTAAGAAATTTCAGAGACTGGTAATCACATAGTAAAACATTAGTGGTTTTGTTTTAAAACCATTAACCACAAAACTATATGGTTCCAGCTCTGAGCCAAAGACATAAAAAAGAGTTTCTTCCTACCTTAACCACATTTAAAATGTTGGTTTCAGGAAGAGTTGAAAAAATTGGCTTACAAGATGAATCCTCACTTCCATTCCCCCCCAATGTCATTTGTGTTTCAGAACTATTGAAAAGTAAATAAAAAAACATGAAATTAGGTACAATATTATTAGGTACAACATAAGAAATGACGAACAAAAATGTATATTTTACTGAGGTGTAATTTAAATACAATAAAAGGAATATACCCATTTTAAGTTTTGATAAATATATAAATAGTGTAACTACCATACGAATCAAGAAATAGAATATTTTCATTACCCCTAAAAGTCTCTTCACGCCAAATGGAAGCCATCCTACTGTCTCTCACTCCAGGGAAATACTATTTTGATCCCTATCCCTATGCATTAGTTTTTCCTTGAACAAATACTTCTTAAAAGGAACTGTCTTCATTGCTCTTGGTGTCAGAGAGCTATGTAGAAGGTAGCTCTGACTACAAAGAACACGTAATATTTAAAGGTCTCTTGAATGGCCTAAAGAAACCACCACAGGAATATGAAGAAACAATTCTAAGCACCTCAATTTTGATTGAGGTATGTGAAGGTTCATGAAAGAGGAGACACATGAACTTGGCTTTCATAAGATAGATAATATTTTCATGTTTAATTTCTTTTCTTTTTTAAAAAAGATTTTATTTATTTATTTTTAGGGAAAAAGGGGAAGAGAAGGAGAAAGACAGGGACAGAAACATCAATTCTGGTTGCGCCTTGTGCATCCCCTACTAGGGACTTGGCCCGCAATCCAGGCATTTGCCCTGACTGGGAATTGAACTGGTTACTCTTTGGGTTTGCAGGCTGGCACTCAATCCACTGAGCAACACCAGCCAAGGAACTTAATTTCTTAAAAAAATTTTTTTAATTTATTGATTTGAGTGGGGGAGAGGTGGAGAGAGAGAGAGATCGACTTGTTCTACTCATTTACGCATTCATCGGTTGATTCTTGTATATGCCCTGATCTGGGATTGAACCTGCAACCTTGGCATATCAGGATGATGCTCTAACCAACTGAACTACCTGGTCAGGGCCTTTCTGGGTAATTTCTTAAATAAATAATACTTTCATGGGGTTAAAAAGTCAAGAAGTATCAAGGCACAGTATACTATGAAGAACTGTCCTCCCAGTCTAGACCTTCAGCCATTCATTTCCCTTCCCCACGATCACTACTAGATTTAGTCCTTCATTCCAAATGTTTTATATATATACAAATATATACGAATATTCCTCTCCTCCACACACCTTCAATACAAGTGGTAGCATACTATATACTCTGTTGTGTACATCTTTCTTTTCACTTAATGTATATCATGGAGATATTTCTATATGTGAAGAACTTTATTTTTTAAATGTCTGCCTGGTAGTCCTGTGTCCCTTCCTAGCAGAACAACCTCAGGCAATTTAGTTAATAGCTTTTTGTTCCTGACTCACCTTTCTGTACCTGACTCACCAGTAAAATGGGAATGAAAATACTATCTAATAGCTGCAGTGACTATTAAATGAAGTACTATACATTATGCCCTTAGATCTATGCCTGGCACATAGTAAGCAATACATTTAAGTAGTTTGATGATTATTATTAATGTACCATGACCTGTCCCCAATAGATGGACTATCTTTTGCTCTTGTAGATTATGTTTCAATAAGCGAGACAGGTAGTATTCTGGCAGGTAAACACTAAGAATGGGGATGAGGAATCAGCATGAGGAACAGCCAATGCAACAATGTCTAATGTGGAGTAACAGTAAGCATATCAATTTGTTTTGAACAAAGAGAAAGCAAAACAGAAAGTAGTTAAAATATTATTATTGCATTTTTAAATTAAATTTTGTAATTTTTTCCCTGTCACACATGGTCATGGTTTTAGATTAAGACAGATGTTAAGAATGTTTCTAATTCAAGATCCATTTCTACTTAGAGAAATTAACACAAATCAAGAATGGATATTAAACTTATCAAAGAAATGAATAGTAACTGTTCTTATATAAAAATTGTTTAAAAGAATATTTTTGGCATTAACTGTGAAAAGAAAACTTACACTAGATTGTCTTCATTAAAGTCAGGCTGAAGATTCTCCAGAGGAAACAAAAATCTAAAATCAATTCCCATATTGAAAAACACAGCTGCTATATCAGACAATGATGGGATCCAGGGCCAAACTGGTGAATCACTGAAGGTATCTAATTAATAGAAGAAACATTTTTTTTTAAAAGATTTTATTTATTTATTTTTAGAGAGAGGGGAAGGGAAAGAGAAAGAGAGGGAGAGAAACATCAATATGTGGTTGCCTCTCTCATGCCCCCCACTGGGGACCTGGCCAGCAACCCAGGCATGGGTCCTGACTGGGAATCAAACTGGCGACCTTTCAGTTCACAGGCCAGCACTCAACCCACTGACCCACACCAGCCAGGGCAGAAGAAAATATTTTATCTCAAATTCCGAGTTCACAGACCCATGGTTGCAAGGTGATAGCCTGCATCTGAAACATTATAATCATTTTGTAGAAATGACAGCTGATATTGGTATGTTAACAATATAATTATTTAGAATGATTATATATGAATTACAAATTTTCAAATAAATATGAAAATAATGACATTTATGAACAAAATATCTGAGAGTGATGGATAAAAGGGTGTAAAACTCAGGAGGAAGAAACACATTTTGAAAAAAATTGGAAATAACAATCATAAAGTATCAACTACTGTTAGCACAGGAAGATTTTACCATCTCCACTGTCTATTTGTTCCAATCCTCAAAACAACTAAGACAGCTAGATCACAATGCTTTTTTCACTATAAGGGATTTCAAAGGAGAGAAAGCAACTGTTGTAATTTTGCAGTGGACACTTTTAATCTTCTCAGTGCAAAATCAGTATAATACTGTTGCTCATCAAGAGCCAATTAAAATTAATAGACTAAATAAATAAACTTGCAACTATTTCTACTTACCCAAAACAGTAAGCCATGACTTGGTAAATATTAGGTAAAGGCTGCCACTTGCAAGATCTTATACCCTTTTTCTGAATGCAACTAGAAAAATGCAGATACTAATTTTTGATTAGAGTTTCATTTCATTATTAAAGAATTTAGATTACAAAAATAATTTCTTATCCTATATTCCCAAATATATTAATTTTCAGCAATACGAAAGAGACCACGTACATAGCAACCAATAATTCACACTGCTAATCACCATTATATACTCACCATTTCTAATTGTTATTTCCATCAATGTACTTAAAATCTGCACGGACACAATACAGTCTGTATGAACTGACATCATCTAAATAGATAAATGATAAGAGTATTGAGAGAGAAAAAAAAGGAAACATGAGCATTTACTATTTGCCAGGCACATATACAGGTGTTTTATGAGTATTTCATTTAATACATATAATAACCTTATGAAATGGTCATACATCACACATAGGAGCAAACAGGCTCATTACTCTACCCAATGTAATACATGAGTAGTTGGAATTTAAATCAAGGTCTGATTCTGATTCAGGGCCTTTTCCATTCTAACATGTTTGTTTTTATAACTTCATTTATAATAAGACAAATATAATATTTAAAACTATAAAAAAATTTTGCTAATTCATATCATGTCATAAAACCCCAAAATCATAAAGGAAAAGGCTACTTAGCTCGATTACTTCACAGGCAAAAAAAAAACCCCAAAACAAAAACAAAAACAAAACAAAAAAACCCAACAACTAGTAAAAATATTGAAAAGACACAAATATGCAAACTAATATACCAATACACTTGTTTTTTTAAATTTTACTTTTCCCCATTTTTTATTGTTGTTCAAGTACAGTTGTCTCCATTTCCCCCCCATTCCCACTTCCAATATATTTGTAAAAAGATGTTCAATATCACCAGTAATCAAAGAAAAGTGATTAAGAAATCATCAGTTGACTTCAATATTGGTGAAGATCGAGACTACTGATAATACAGTGTTCACAAGTATACTAGGAAAGAGGTAGTATGCCCAGTGTGGGGATAATTTAGTAAAATTTAAAAAATAATTTGGTGCCCTGGCTGGTATGGCTCAGTGAACTGAGCACCAACCTGTGAACCAAAAGGTCACTGGTTCAATTCCCAGTCAGGGCACATGCCTGGGTTGCAGGCCAGGTCCCCAGTAGGGGGAGTGCGAGAGGCAACAGGTTGATGTATCTCTCACACATCAATGTTTCTCTTTCTCCCTCTCTTCCCCCCTCTCTAAAAATAAATAAATAAAATCTAAAAAAAATAATTTGGTAATATTTATGCAAAGTTATTGTCCTTGTACCTTGATCTAGTCAGCCTTTTTACACAGGAATTTATATGCGAGGCATATAATTACTATAATTTTATAGGACAATTTTTTTGGAATAAAAGCTTGTGTTTAAAAATGTTTTTTAAAAGTCACACTGAAAGTAATTTTTAAGTGGTTTTATGGAGGAAAATATAGTTTATTTCTGTCTCTTTCTCTTTTGCTTTGGAGTCATAGATTATAATACATTTAAATGTAAAATATAAGGAGGAATAACCCAAACTCTGGCTTCAATCAGGCAAACAGCTTATATCATTACAAAATCATCCTATGTGAATAAATCTTTGCTATGATGTTTGTGTTGTAATGCTCTGCCACTGGGGGGCAGCACCATTAAAAGGCATGTTGGACACTAGAGAAGTTTTGGATAACAATTTTGTTGTGGAGGTGATGAATTCTGAGGTGGGCAACTGGAAATAATTAAATAAGTGTATAAAGAAGTGTATACAACAATCAAATATCTACCAATTAAGATTGGGTTAAATAAATCATGGTAAAGAACTACAAAGGAATACTATAAAAGCCATTAAAAAGGATAACATCTATACTGATAAAAATACTCAATAATTTATTGTCATCTGAAATAAAGTTATAAAAGAGCATATATTTTATTTATATTGTTATACTGCAATCTATATACACAGAGAACAATCCAGAAAACACTAACAGCCCCTGGAAACTGGGAGTTCAGCCTTATTTTTAATTTTAATACCCTTTCCATTTTACTTGAATGCCTCACGAACGTGAATTCCCTCTGAAAATGGTAAGACAAAACGAACAAAAAGACCAAAAAACCCTGTCTTTCTGGTCTACTACATTTAGACCACAAAGATGCAAAACATTTTAACAATTAAATTTACGAAATATTAATTAGGACTGTAGCATTAAAATAAATGTTGACATTTATAAGAAAAAAAAATTGTAAGTTGGTCTCCCCATCATGAAAAATAAATTTGGAATTGGAAAGGAGGATTGAGACAAAGTATTTTAAAAAGAGAAAGTGCTTAACAAACAATTACTAGTTTGGTTTTCAAAGAGTAAATATGAAGAGTATATAAAACTTCTTAATAAGAGGGCTATATATAAGGGGGATAAATGGTAGTGGAAAAAATACAATAAAAAATAAACTGTTTACACAAAGATATGCTTGAATGCCATCATTAGGGCTTTTTTTAAAAGCTTTTATTTATTTTTAGATAGAGGGAGAAATATCGATGTATGAGAGAAACATAGATTGGTTGCCTCTCACATGCCCTCAGTTAGGGACCTGGCCTGAAATCCAGGCATGTCCCCTGACTGGGAATGAAACTGGTAACCTTTTGGTTCACAAGCTGGCACTCAAACCATGGAGCTACACCAGCCAGGCCATCATTAGGGGTTTAAAGGCCATAATCATGGGCTCACATCAAGAAGATGAAACTTAATACAGATGATTGCAAAGTCTTACTTGTAAGTTTAAGAAAAGATATTAGAGAATAATGAGCCCTGTCATGAGAGCAAATGAAATTCTGAATTGTAATAAACAGAAATATGTGGGTGGAGTAGATAGGTTAAGAATCTTGCTAGAAACTGTTGGTAAGAAAGACCATATCTGAAGCATGTGTGGGGAGGGGAAAAACACTTTAGGAGTGACACAAGCTAAAGATCTATCAGAAGGATGGTCAATAAAGAAACTGGAAATTTAATGACTACAGAATGTTTAGTGTGGGAAGAGATGAGGGTCATGATAGTTATTTAAAAATAACTGAAGGGCCCCGGTCAGGTAGCTCAGTTGGTTCAAGTGTTGTCCTCAGTACACCAAAGTTTCGGGTTCAATCCCTGGTCAGGGCACATACAAGAATCAACCAATGAATGCATGAATAAGTGGAACAACAAACTGGTGTTTCTCTCTTCTTTCCTCTCTAAAAATCAATAAATAAAAATAAAAATAAAAATAAAAATAATCTGTCTTTATAGTCAGATAAGGCATATTCTGGGAAGCTATAGAAAAGGTAATTACTATCACTAGATTAAAAACTGTAGGGAGGCCACTTTTTATTTAATTAGGACTGTTAAAAAATTACAAGTAATCAGTTACTGGAAGCAAATGCTCCTGCCCCATAGCCTACACCACCTGTTACTCTCTCTGCCTAAAATGCTCTTCTCCCACATAGTGGCAAAGCTCATTCCATTACTTTCTTCAGGTCTTTTCTCACACCTCACCTTATCAGTAAGGCCTCACTGATACCCATATATATATAAAGCAAACTTTCTTTCCCACTCTGATATTTTCTGTATCTATCTACCTTAGCTTACTTTTTCTTCATAGCACTTAACATCTGACCTAATATATGTATAAATGTGCACACACACACACACATTTATTGTCTGTCTCTTCTGTACTAGATAGAATGTGGGATTCATGAGATCAGAGACACTGATTTTTTTTCATTGCTCTTCTCTCCAGTGTCTGGCATAGCTGGCACTCAGAACTGCCAGGTTTATAAAAAAAATGAATAAAAGGCTATACTGGAATAGCTAGTTCTTGACAAATACAAGATTCTTTGAAATGCTATCTTAAAACCCAGAATAGAAACTCCATGTTTGTCCCACTTCTCATATAATAGTTATAGTCTCTGATACCACTGATATTTATAAAGATACCATATAAATAATATAAAAATTAAGAATTATTTTAAGTAGATTTAAGAGTTAAATATGAATGAGGAGGAGAAACATTGTTAGAGTTGCATAAAAAATATATGAATAGACCTGGCTGGTATAGCTCAGTGGATTGAGTGTGGGCCTATAAACCAAAGGGTGGCTGGTTTGATTCCCAGTCAGGGTACATGCCTGGGTTGCAAGCCAGGTCCCCAGTAGGGGGTGCTTGAGAGGCAGCCATATATTGATGTTTCTCTCCCTCTCTTTCTCCTTCCCTTCCCCTCTCTCTTAAAATAAATAAGTAAAACCTTTAAAAATATGTATGAATAGTTAAATATCAGTATACAAGTCAAACCTTAAAAATGTATGCAGGCACCTCCACAAAAATAGGGAAAAAGGGTAACCCCTGCAACGTATATAAGCACTAAAAGACCTCTTCTGAAACTAAGTATAACAGTGACTTACCAACATGATGAAATGTTTCAGGTACAACTAACATTATTGATTATCCTGCACACTACCTGCATTAGTATTTTCTTTACTTCTTTACACCTATTCTTTTTTCCTTAAAAAAGAAAAAACAAGATCCTACTTATTCACCATTAGAAGGGAAGGGAGGGAGAAAGAGAGGGAGAGAAACAAAAATTGATGTGAGAAACATTGATCCAAAGGTCCAAAGATCTAAAACAAGGACCAAGCCTGCAATCCAGGCATGTGCCGACTGGGAATCAAACTGATGACCTTTTGCTTTACGGGATGATGCCCAACTGAGCCACACTGGTCAGAGCTACATTGATTCTTTTGCCTCATTTGTATCCACTGAAATCATGTGCTACATTGTATTTTTCTCTAGTACTGTGCAAATAAGATTATATTTTAAATTTGCTTTTGACTGGGAAAAACAGTAGGAGGCAACTATAATCCCCACACATTTCTCTTACCCGAAATAGCCACTTTAACACAGGTACAGGACACTGGACATAATGATAAGCAGAGGTAAGGAAGCCTTGTGTTGTCAAAAAAATCTGATCTGTCTTTCCTGATCTGAAAAAATAAAGTAAAATCAGTGTGACTGTTGACAAGAAACTTCTACCACCACATTCTGACATAATCTGGGAAATGAACAAGCAAATCATCCTAAATCCTTTCTTAGGTGGATTCTACCCCAATAAAGATGGGTTACTTATAAAAGAAATTCAATGAAGGGCCTAAAGCTGTCTACGGGCAGTGTTGATAAGGAGGAGAGCCTGTCAAGTCTCAGGGCACTGTCTGTTTTTGCCAACTGGGGTCTGTACTTCCATAAAACTCAGAATTAATGTGATTTCTCTGGATCTGAGATATCATGCACTGAGAGAAATTAGCTCTGGGGTAATGTGAGAGACTGCTAGTTATCTATCCCAATATCTATGTTTGCATTTCCTCTTGGTAACTGAACCCTGATTTTTAGCTGGGCACACTGGCTGCCTGAAATTAAAATCACTCCGCCCTGGCTGGTGTGGCTCAGTGGATTGAGCGCCAGCCTGCAAACCAAAGGGTTGGTGGTTCGATTCCCAGTCAGGGTACATGCCTGGGTTGTGAGCCAGGTCCTTAGCAGGGGGCACAAGAGGGACAACCACACATTGATGTTTCTCTCCCTGTCTTCCCCTGTGTCTAAAAAGAAAATTTAAAAAACAAAACAAAAACCTCAGAATTAAAAAAAAAAAATCACTCTCCAGCCTTCCTTGTAGTAGGTATGGCCATGCTGACTAAGTTCTATGCAACAAACCCTAAGTAGAAATGCTGCGTGGGATTTCTTGGAACTTGAATATAAAGGCTGGAACTCCAGTGCCAACTAAAGCAACCAAATGCTAAGGATGGTGGAGAAAAAAGATTACATGGTGAAACAGCAGACCTGGACTTCCTACCTTTGAATTCTTTCACATAAGAAAGAAATATATTTCTTATTTAAGCCCCTGATATTTTGACATTGTTTAGTCATTGTTATTATATACCGATCTTAATGCTAACTAATAAGGTATATGATGTACCAAACAACTATTTCACACTGCTTTCTATAATTAAATAATACAGCACAAAGGGCAATAGTAATAAAAAAGAGGATTAAGAAACTGGATTGGTCATAGCAGAAATTAAACTTTTAGAAGATTATATCCATCAGAATCTTAAAGTAATTTTTATATGTGAAGAAGTAAAATGTCTGCTTTTTTACTTACTTAAGAATAAGCTTCTCTACAGCACTTTGTCCAATAAAACCAGAGTCTCTTAAATCCAAGGTATACTGATTGAAAATTTTTCCAGAATTGAAGAAATTAAATATTTCTTCACCTGGATGATGATCAGGAATAGCATCAATTGTAATTGAAAATTTCTTTAGAAATTCCCTGAAATTAGAAAAAGCCATTAAATAACAAAGTTATACTGTATATAATTTTATGCTTAAAAGTTGGGTGTAAAGCAAACTTTTCTTAGGACCTATGTCAATCCCAGATTAGAATTCTAACATGAGAACATGTGTTTTGCTCCTCACACTTTTTGCTAGTCATTAGTCCAAAGCCACTAAATGTGTGTGAGAAGAAATAACCAGGAGAAAAGACAAATGATGTTAACTTGGTCTTAATGTTTGTCTTCCAAATCCATCACAGATGGATTAGAAACCCATCACAGATTATCCACTAAGTAAATAACCATCAATTGCCCATTTTATAAAAACAAAATTTAAAAATATATAAACTTAACAGGGCATACATCATGAAAAAAGGGTGTACCTGTGCTCTTCTAAGAGGCCATCCTCATCATCTGTACTGTCTTGATCTCCAATTCTGATTGGGGATTTAATGCCTCGGCCCTGTCTTATATCTTCCTGTAGTTGCTTCTGCAGTTCATCTAGCCTGAGAATTGACACAATATTACTATAAATGGTTGGCTCTAAAAATAAAAACAATTTTTAGCTTATGCCTAAAGGTAGCACCAAGAAAAACTCTTATTAAGTATACTGTTATAAGACAAACTTTGTTTATACTTTAGGTCAAATCATGTCTCCCAAATACATCATAATGTATGTTATAGGATATACTATTTTCATTAAACACAACAAATCTATCTTAGGTCTTAAGTCTTTTACCCAGCCTAGAATAGTATTCCATCACAGCCCTGGCTGGCTTGCTCAGTTGGTTGGAGTGTCATCCTATGCACCAAAAGGTAGTGGGTTCAATCCCTGGTCAGGGCATGTACCTAGATTGTGAGTTCGATCCCCAGTTGGGGTACATACAAGAGGCAACCAATCAATGCCCCCCTCTTTCTCTCTCTAATAAACAAACATATCCTTGTGTGAAAATTAAAAAAACAAAGAAAAAGAATAGTATTCCATGACACAAAAAACTTGAATGTTACTTTATAGCTAGGACTTCAAGAATGATGTCTAAATCTTTAGAAAAGGGGAAGGGAAAATGGCAAAAATAAACATTACTAATTTAATGTTTAATCTCTCATGCTCGTTTTTCTTTTTCTTTTTTAATCATCACCCAAGGCTATGTTTATAGATTTTAGAGAGAGGAAGAGAAACAAAGAGAAACATTGATGTCAGAGAGAAATATCGATTGGTTGCCTCCTGTATATGCCCTGACTGGCGATGGAACCTGCAACCTAGGTATGTGCCCTGGCTGGGAATTGAACCCACAATCTTTTGGTGTATAGGGCAATGTTCCAACCAACTGAGCCACCTGGATAGGCCTCTAATGTTCATTTGACTTCCAGTAGACCAACAACCTGATATTGTTAACTAGGCTTTCTAGCAGCAGTAATTATCATTGTTATCATCATCACTGTCACAACACCTAACCCTTATTAAAAACTTGATGTGTGATATACACTGTACTAAGAACTTTATTAACTTTTTTAACTCTCACAACTCCATATGTAGTTTATAATTACCCATTTTATACATGAGGAAAAAGACATTAGAGAAACTTACTCAAGCTCACAATGCGAGGAGCTGGGGTTCAAAGTCAGAGTCTAGCTCTGAAGTCCTTCCTTGCTTATATAACTCATCAAGATTACGTTTTTTAAGCTGAGGTCCTTATCCCCAACTCCAGCCCCACAGTAGATAAGTGTAATACAACAGTAAATGACGGATAAATGTACTGCTCTATTACAACAAGAAACAGTCAATTATCAGATCAAACTAGCATCTCTGCCTTTGGTCTGTGCAATGTTCAATTTTAAATAAGCAACATCATTTTTGATCTATCACAAATCACATGAATTCACACATTTAAAGAATTTTATAATGTAATTTTTCTAATTATATTCAGAAAGGGAAACACTTCTGACCTAGTAAGATCTGCAAATCCTGTATCTAGCTGCTTAGTTATCAAGTTTAAGACACAGACAACTTCAAGAAGTTGAAGACAACTTCAAGCCAGTTGAGCTTTTAGTGAAGGTCCCTGGGCTCATTTCAAGGATATTCCTTCAAGGAAGATATTTTTCCCATCTCATTAGCAAAAGCATTTTGTAACTAGTTATGTAAATTTCATCAGGGTCACTGTGACCCTCAAACTCTTTGATTTTTTGTGTGTGTATGTCAGAGGTGTCATTCACAACTAAACTGCCTCAAAAGAGTATCATTTTTCGGACTGTAAAACATATTTTACCCCCAAATTTGGGAGGAAAAGGGGGTGGCGTCCAGTGGTGGAGCGGGGCCACAGGTTATTAAATATTTTACTACATTTTTTTGCTTCAAAATTTTTTCCCTATTTTCCTCCTCTAAAAGCTAGGTGCATCTTATGGTCCTGAAAATATGGTTAATCTGATGTAGAAATAACATGTTTGGTTATACTGGTATCAAAACTGGGGACTAAGCAGGCATACAAACATGTAAAAAAAATTGTACCCTGGCAAACAAAAATCCCCAAACAACCTAATTAAAAAATCAGCAAAGGACCTTGAATAGACATTTCTCCAGACAAGCTATACAAATGCCAATAAGAACATGAAAAGGTACTCAACGTCATTAGCGAAATGCAGATCAAAACCATAATGAGATACCACTTCATACTCCTTAGGATAGTTATTATCAAAAATAACAGAAAATACCAAGTCTTGCTAAGGATGTGAAGAAACTGGTACCCTTGTGAACTGCCGGTGAAAATGCACAATGGTGTAGCCACTATGTTAAACTGTATGGCAGTCCCTCTAAAAATGATGCACAGAATTACCATATGATCCAGCAACTGCACTTCTGGGTATATATCCCAAATTGAAAGTGGGTACTTGAAGGCATATTTGTACAGCCATGATCATAACAGCAATATTTACAATAGACAAAAAATAGAAGCAACTCCAGTATCCATTGATGAATAAATACAATGTGGTGTCTATATGGAATTCTGACACATGCTACAACATGGATGAACCCTGAAGATATGCTAAGTGAAGTAAGTCAATCACAAAAGGACAAATGCTTATAATCCCATTGCATGAGGTATTTAGAATAGTCAATTTCACAGAGAAAGTACTGATGGAATGACTGTTGTACCAGGGGATGGGAGAATGGGGAGTTATAGGTTAATGGATATGGAATTTTAGTAAAGGAGTATGAAAAAAAATGTTCTGGAGCTAGATGGAGGTGATGGTTGCACAACAATGTAAAGGTACTTAGTGCCAGTGAACCATACATTTAAAAGTGATTAAAAAGGTAAATTTTATATCTATTTTATCATAATAAAAAAGTGAAAATTCTACTAAGGCTTTTGATCAAGAATTTCAGGTATCAGGTCACAGGTGGCAAACACAAGGCCCGTGGGTCAAATCCAGCCCTCCACACCTTGTTTTATCTGGCCTAGGACCTTGTTTTTACCCAGAAGCAGCGCTGAGCTCCTTGCCCCTAGTTAAGGAGTAGTTACATTCATACAGTCCTAAAATTACATTTGCCCCTTTGAAGGCAACCTCGAGGCTGATGTGACCCCTGATGAAAATGAATTTGACACCCCTGAGTTAGATAGTAGTTGTTATAAGAAAAAAATTGTATTATTAATTAATGCAGTATACCATAAAAACCTGGAGCCTCTGATCCAGCCTATGAACAAGAATATCTTATTTCTAAAACAGTATTTAAATTTAGTCAGGTAATCAAAATACTAACTAACCTTTGGGTGTCTTCCATTTCCTTCACTAGACGCTCTAGAGTATTTGTGTAAGTTCCACTATGAACATGTTCCTAAAACAAGAAGAAAATTTAGGAATACTTTATAACATATCTTAGTAAAAGAATTGGGATGTTTTAAGTTACTCAGAATACTAAAGAATATTTTCTATTTCAATAACCTGGGCCAGGAGGATACCTTTCTTAAAAAAGAATTTTCACCATCATGCTTTAAATCTAGTATTTTGTACTACAGGCAATTTGATTTTACCATCTATAAGAAAAGGCACTACTTATAAAACCCTGCCAGTCTTAGAAGCTGACTGTAAACACCCAAGGGCTCCATGGCTATCCTGTCTTTATTTTTAAATTCTATTTTAGTGGAATTAAACTATTAATTTTTAGGTGTTACCATGAGCATTAACACCTTCCCCACCAAATTTTACAGACATATTAGAATTTAATTCAGCTTATTCCCAAGATAGAATGAAGCACTTTATAAATAAAATTGCACACCACAATTAACAACATTCTACACTCTACCTTCATTTACAGCAGTGGTCTCCAAAGCAGAGGGTGTGCAAGGTGATCCATTGGGGTGCAGGAAGAAAATAATAGAACTTCTATTTATATGGAACTTCTATAGATACTCTGTAGAACTTAGTCTATAGTAACTTCTACATAAATTCTATAGGAAAATACTTTTTTTCTTCTTCCTTTAAATTGTTTTTGCATATTCTTTAGAAAGTACATAGTGATACATGTATTAATCTATAAGTATACAAATATATTGGGGTGCATGCTCAAAATTTTTTTTTACTAATAGAAATGTGTGTGATCAAAAAAGTTTGGAGACCACTGATTTACAGTAATAAAACTAAAGATAGGGGAAACCCATTAATCAAACAAAAACTGTACCAGTTGCAGACCAATTATGAATCATAACAAATACTGGATTTTAAAATAAGTTCTAACATTCTATTCTTCTTTCACTAATCAATCCATCTTTCCCTCTTCAAGTAAAGATAATGTTATAGAACTACTTACTGTATAGTCTGATGACTGAGATCCAAGCCCCTTGGAAGGAACAGGAGGCTTTCCTGTAGATGCAGGAGTCTGATTGAAGTTCCAAGGCATTATTTCTTCCAGTGGTTTTAATGTTTCCTCTTCCTCATCACTGTCTAGGTTGTAACCTAAACTTTCTTCATCACTATCAAAATCACCCCTTAGTTTTCTTTTCAGTGCATTGCTACCTGCATTGGAATTTCCTGAACTCTCTTTTTCTGAAGGGGTTTTATCTGAAGGTGCTGTAGGACTTGGGATACATGGCACAACTTCCAAAGCAGCTGGGGGAGACTTTGTAGGAGTGCCATTTTCTGAATGCAAAGATCCCCCAGAAATTTTCCCTGAAGGTACATTAGAATCAGCCTTATTAGTCTTTGCTTTGTGTTCCTTGTGTTTGGAGGACTCTGCAGAGTGCCCAGAACATTCTTTAGATGAGGACCGCTCTTTTTCTTTTTTAGGAACTGAAAGAGTGCAATTTTTAGAATTTAATGGTACCCGAGAGGAACCAGCACTTGGAACATGGGAAAGTAAAGGTAGAAGTTTTGTCTCCTTTGCTGCCACAGGGCTGGCAGTTTTATTTTTCTGAAAGTTGCTAGATTTTTTAACTGCAGACTTTTCCTGAGGTAAAGATAAGTGAGGTTTCTGTATCTTAGTCTCTTTGGTACTTGCCACACGGACTTGGTCACTATTCCTGGAAGAATGGTGGCCAGAATTTGAAGGTGCCAAGCCTGCAGAGGAACAATCTGCTTCTTCATTCGGTTCCCTGGATATATCTTCCAAGCGCAATACATCACCAGGTGTCTTCAGTGCAATGTGTTTTATAAATTTCTCTCTCTGATGTGGTCCGTCAGGACGCTTCTCAAGGAAAGACTCTTTAGCTTTCGGCATTAGAGATTCTCTTGTGCTTTTCAGATCTGAGTCCGCAGAGTTCCTTTTTCTTTTGTCAGGAAATTTATTCTGCTTAGAGCCTGCTAAAATTTAATTTTTGCCAGATTAGTGAAAATATATTTTCCTATCTTACTTAAGTTTATTCAATTAGTATCTAGAATACCCTGACAAAATGTTTAGATTCTAAAAGTTTAGGCTGAGATTATTCATCACATATGGAATTTGGAAAAAGTTAATACCATCATTTATTTTTTTAACTGATAAATATTGGTCAGTCCAAGAAATTTAAAGCCAATGACAAAAGCTGATTTTTATTTCAAAACTATTAAGTTTACTACCTAAATAAAATTAAAGGTATAATTCCCCCAAACATAAAAAACTACGTATCTATATCAAGGAAAGGATTCCAAAGGCACTTTGCTTCCAAGTGCATAAACACTCTTTCTTAGACCAAGGACTACATGGTTCCAGAAATGTAACACTTCTATATCTAAATTTACATTACCTTAAAACACATATACGGTAACTAGTTGAAAGCAGACACATTTTAATTTCTTAATTAAAAAAATTAATCCAAGTTTTCCACCCTAGTATTTAATTGTTTATCCTTTCCCATGTATCCCTCTAGTCTTCAGCTATGTTATGGGTTAAACTGTGGCTCCCAAAGTGGTATGTGAAATCCTAACTCCCAGAACCTCAGAATGTGATGTTCATTACAAGTAGTGTTTCTTACAGGGGTAATCAAATTAAAATGAGGTCATCAAGGCAGATCCTAATTCAGTATGACTAGTGTCCTTATAAAAAGAGAAATGTGGACATGAAGACATACATGCAGAGGGAAGATGATGTGAAGATACACATGGGGAATGTGCTGTGATTGGACTGATGCATCTACAAGTCAAGGAACGCCAAGGATTATAGACAAACACCAGAAGCTATAAGAGGCAAGGAAGGATCCTCCCTTAGAGTTGTAAGAGAAACCAAGGCCCTGCTGATAACCTTAATTTTGGATTTCTAGCTTCCAGAACCATAAAGTAATACATATCTGTTGTTTTAAACCACCTAGGTTTTGGCAACTGTTATGGCAGCCCTAGACAACTAATATAAGCTGGGTTAGTAGCTCCGTCCAGAAGCACTTTAATAACCACAAAAATTTGAGTTAACCAGTTTTTAAAAATTTCTTATTGTTTAAAAATGTGGTTTCATTAATTCACCCTTAAAATTCACTCATTAAAAATTACTATATAATCAGTATTCTCAAAAATCAAATTTCCCTAAATCAAGTTTCTTTCTGTAATGGCAGATCCTCCATGTTTCCCCACTCCCCAAATCCTCAACAGATTAAAAAGAAAAAGACACAAACAAAAAAATCCTCAAGAGTCAAGCAATTTGGATACCTTGATGAATAAATATTCTGAAAAATTCATCTTATAAAAAATAAATTATAAACAAATGTTCCATGTCCATTCTTCTACAGGTATCTCCTATTACCTGAAGAAACCATTTATGACCACTCAGTTTTCTGGGGCTCAATGTTTTGTTATAAAAAATAGGGGTCCCTTATAGTGCAGGATAAGAAATCAAGTTAACTAAGAAAAAGGGAAGACTTGGGGTACACTTATACTGATTGTCTTAAGTTTGAAGGTTATAAGAAAGATAGCTACAGAGCTGCCAATTTGAAGTTTGGTTCCATTTCCCTAGAGAAGTCAGACATTTACATACAGCTAGTAATGAGAAGAAATTCCTGCTTTGTTCAGGAACTGAATTGAAGACTTGTCCAGGAGGAGAGAAAAACTATTTGTGAGCAAAGTTTAGGAAAAATCAGCTTATTAAGAAATTTTAACATCTAGAATTAGAGGAAGGTGAACTGGTACTATAGTTAGGCTTCCTTTTTGCAAGCTCTGTAGGGCAATGGATTACCTGCAAAAGTTTCATGATTCTTTTTGCACCCCTTGGACAACCTTCAGAGTGAATGTTTTATAACATTTCAAATATGTATTAGTTGGGGGAGGTAGGTATAAGGGGACTAAATGGTAATGGAAAAATATAAAAGATTAAATTAAAAAATATGTATTAGTATATAAAATGCTCAGATAAGCCAGTGGTTGAGTCTGTAAAGAAAAAAAGAGGAAAAATCTAAATGCCCCTTAATAGGGAATTAGCTATTAATTAATTATGGAATAAACTAGGGATGGATTAAGTTGGACTTCAGAATTCAGCCAAAGGACAAGGCTCTGGAAGACCAAAGAGCCAAATGTCTATACTACTAACATTTGTGTGAATAATTGACGTGTGATGAATACACAGCATCATCACAATGGATAACTGTAATAGTAATATAAACAAGATATAACACTTAGATTATTAATTTCTACTCAGATAAAGTAAGCATTCTTCATGTTATCTAGAATGAAGAAAAATCCCCTTATATTCTATATATTCTGTTGACAGTCAATTGAAGTATAAATGTATAAAGAGTACAGTACCACAATTATGAGGATTATGAAAAACATGCAAAAATATTAGAATAAAAATATAAGTCCCTGGCCAGGATGCTCAGTTGGTTCGAGTGTCATCCTGATATGCAAAGGTTGCAGGTTCAATCCCTGGTCAGGGCACATACAAGAGTCAACCAATGAATGCATAAATAAGTGGAACAACAAATCGATATTTCTCTCTCCTTTCCTCTTTCTCTCTAAAACCAATAAACATTTTTAAAAATTGTATGTAAGTGAAGGCAACCATCTTAAGCCTGCCTCTGAAAATATGTAGGAAGCATCTTTTTCAAGCAGTGTTCAAAAGTTCAGTATGTGGAATTATATAAATAAAACTATTTTGGTCACCACAGATGAAATCTGTAAACCCATGAACTAAAAATAATTTTTATCTTAGTCATTATCAAAGGGAGGAAAAAGGCTGAATAGCTTGGTGGCAACATCACCAGCAGCCCCTTATAGTTGTGAAGCTAGTCTAAAAATACTTTGCTCTTCCATTCACCTCAGTGCAAAGTGATTATTTATTTAATATTAGAAGCATGAAATACAGTGAGTGCAGGACCAATTTCATGATTGAGCAATTGCTGTTCTTACACTATTAATGTCAAAATTCACTAACATTTGATGATCAAAATCAACATTATAAAAATTAAATACATTTTTTAGAAAACATAAAACTTCAGACTTATTCTTATATCCTGGAATCTCCTTCTACGATACTAAGTATGATTTCAGCCCTGGCTGAAGATTGATTATAACACTTGAGGTCACTTGATCAAAATGCAATATACTTCTAGAATATATAAAAAATAGAATTTTACACAAAACCTGAAGAGCAGTAAGTCAGAACTGTCTCTATATCTCCATTTTTTGTTTCTAAAAGCAACCTCCTTATATGGATGGGAGGCTCCAATGAATTAAAAGGATATAGGACAGGGCATGTCACACAGTAAGGGCTTAATAAATGTTTTTTACTATTATCATTGAGAGTGTGGAAATTTGTAAAGTCCGTTTTTCAAAGTTTGCAGTCATAACTGAAAAAAGTTCTGATATACCAAACTATTAACAGTTGTTATTTCTGGGGCCCTTCCATTTTTTGTTATAAATTTCTACAGTGTTTAAATTTTATACTGTCCTATTTTCTAGTAAAAAAATAAAGACACTGAATTAACAGCATCTGAGTTAACAGTAGCTGTTTGCTATTATGTATTTTCTCAACCAATAGATAATAAAAGTACAAACTAGTGTCATGTAAGTGTCCATGAAATTTGATTCTAAAAAGAGATCTTTGTATTTAAAATACAGGAAAGACTGCAGTGGATCAAGGTAACAGTTTCAACCTTAAACAAAGCATCTTCAATACCAAGATCTCAGATAATCCACAATTCCAGGAATATAGATTAAACTGTAGCCAAGGATTCAGAAGTAGGGCACTGAATGTCACCAGTATGAGAAACACATCGTAAGGAACTATTGAAAAATGTAGAGAAGAGTCAAGATAAACCACAAATTAATTACATGTGCTAAATTCAAGGACTATTCATTTTGAATATAATACTATCAAACTCTAAAGTTAGACATTCGATTCACCTCTAGGAAGGAAACTGCATTTTTAAACAAATTGGCTTTAAAAAACAGTGCCATTAAAATGTAAATGTATTTGCAAATTCATAAATTTAATTATTTTGATTCTACCTGAAGCAGTTTCCCATGAATCAGAAGATGATCTTTTTCTTGAGAGATGTCCATTTTCCTATTAGCAAAATGAAAAAAAAATTCATTAGGAGTTGGATTAAGTAAATAATATGAATTTTTCTTCAACATATTTAAACACAGATTTCTAGACTGAATAAAGCACGAACATATTTTTGGAGGTAAATTCCCTATAATAAAATACTTTAAATCTTAAGTTTTATTATAAAAACAAAGGGCATGTGTAGTATAAAAATATAAAAACACCGTAAAGTCAGTTTTCATACACTATTTCAGAGATTTATATTAACAACCCAGGATTAAGATTCTATTAGAGCAGTGCAATTATTTTAATAAATAGTAAGCCTAATATTTGCCAATCAAATGGACTCTTCAATGCTTCTGTTTAAATATCAACGTAACACCAAACACTGAAATCTTATAGAAATGGACCAAATGTTACTAACCTCTATTTTTTTTTAAGATTTTATTTATTTATTTTTTTTAGGGAGAGAGGAAGGGAGGAAGAGAGGGAGAGAAACATTAACGTGTAAGAGAACCCTCTTGCAAGGCCCGGCCTGTGACCCACACATGTGCCCTGACTGGGAATCAAACCAGCAACCCTTCAGTTCGTAGGCCTGTACTCAGTCCCCTGAGCCACACCAGCTAGGGCCAAAACTCAATTGATCACCAGCAATTTAATCACCGGCAAAGGCACCAACTACAATTTCCATTAACATACAGTGCAACAATCTCTATCTACTCCTAGAATATCATAGTTTCGTTTATTTTTGGTTTACCAGATTTACAAATTTTATAGCAACTTTTCCACATAGCACTTCCTTGTTACCTAACCTTCCTGTATTTGCTCTGTATGTAGAAAAGCTCTTTGCAACAGATATGCTTAACGACTTGACTTTTCAGGGAAGAAGGACAGCTTTTATGCTGATCTAAATTCAGTTTAGTTTCAAAAGATAAATATGAGATTAAGATATATTTGGATAGTTTTCTAAGCTAAGACCCATACTCAATTATTTAAGATTTATATTTAAACCAGTGATTCTCAAACTTTAAAGTGCATCAGAATCATCTGGAAAGCTTGTTAATCACAGATTGCTGGACTCTACCTGCAGTTTCTGTTTTAGTGGGTCTGGGGTGGGGCCGGAGATTTGTATTTTTAACAAGTTCCAAGGTGATGCTGCTGTTGCTAGTCCAGGAACCACATTTTGAGAACCTCTATTCTAAACCACTTCCTGCTGTTTTTGATTTTCCATTCCTCACGCATCTCCCTTCAGCACAGCCTAATTTAAAAATGACCATACTTGCCTAAAAAAAAAAATGTTTACTTTTCTGATTAAGTAAGATCTTTGTTCCTAGTCTGAAAAAATTAAAGGCAAGAAACACTGGTTTACTGAGTTTGATTGACAACTGGAGAAAACCTAATGAAAGTAACTTCTACAGAATATATGTATAATTATTTTCTTAACAAAAGATACCAGTATGATGTTAACAATTATTAAGTATTTTTAGATTTAATATCTAAAAATGATAAAGCAGTAGCGCAGCTAATTCAGTAATTATTGCACATACCAGGTTTGAAAGATTACTTTTTCCAGGTCTGACATCATTCTGTTTACTTTGTTCCTGCCTTGGTTGATCGTTTTTTCCTATGCTAGAGGATTTTAAGGAAAGACTGCTTGCTTCTGAGAAAGAATTTTCTGAGTGGGTTCTCTGCTCCATTTGCTCCTTTCTCAACTTCTTTAGTTGTCTTTCTCTGCAGTAAGAAGCTAGTGACGACTGGAACTTAGCTCCCAGTGGGCTTTCTCCTGGGTGATGCCTGGATAGGCTGCTCCTGCTGCTAAGACTTCTGGAGGTGTTCTTGAACATGTCAGCTTCTGTCACTGTGGCCTGCTTGTTGGTATCTGCACTGGTCTTGCCTTGATCTCTATCATTCTTCTCCCTATTTTCATGAGTGAGTAGTGACTTCCTTCTCTCTGGAGATCGATGTTTTTTCTTTAGTGTCTTCATCTCTTTAGACAGGTGACACGAAGGAGGAACATAGACTGTCTTTGTAACTGTCTTTGGACATTTGGTGGTTAGTGACACACAAGGCCGATATGACTCATGTACACCACGATCTTTAGGGTGCTCTTTAACACTTCTCATGAAAGCCTCTATAATAGGGCTCTTTTCTGATGGCAGCCCTTTGGGTTTAGATTTTTTTGGTGAAGATGACTTCCTTTCAAACTGCTCTGTGCCATTGATGGACAAACCACTTTCTCCATATCTGATGTTTGATTTTTGTGGAGAATCCAACATATGTCGGTCTAAATAGCCAATTAAAACAATACAAACCACATGTTATTAGAAATATACAAACTATTGCACCTTATATATTTATTTAAAGTATTGATATTTAAAATACTAAGCTATCACAAAAAATTTCAAATTGTTTAGTTAGAATGATGATACACACTTTATCATATTATCATATGATGATACACATTTTTAATCATGGGGCTAAAAAAATGGTTTATTTGTTAACAGCCTTAACTTTCATAAGACTCCCTTTTGCTGTATCATGTAAGCTCTTAATGGCTCTATGAAATAATGTTACTGTGTTAGAGAAATGAAAATAGTATGCACTATGAAAATTATTGACTGGACTAATTAAAAAAAGTATAGCAGCAAAAAGTTTCTTCATAATGTTTAGAAACTGCATTTTCATATTTTCAGTTTTGAACATTATTTAATCAAACTGAGCTTAGATTTAAAAATTGATATATTTCCCTCCAAAAAAAATCCCACAAAAATTCATTAATAGTATACATACCTTGTTTCGAAGCTGCTTTGAAGAAATTTATAATTGACTGCCTCCTGAAAATAAAAGCATAACTAATATGGAATCACATAAGCAAATATTAAAATCTCAATAATTCAGAGTAAGTGGAGAGCACTAGATTTGTAGAATATAGGCTAGATTTCACTATCTAGTTTAATCAAATTCTGACAATGGCAATAATGCTTTACTCAGCTGATTGTAAAAAATTGGAAACATAACTCAAAAATTCCTGCAGAAGTAAATTTGTAAAAGTACAACTGAGGTTTATGTAATCTATAGTACTAAAATTATAAGATTGAAGTGTGAATCCAGGGAATTGGTAGACTGCTTCCTAGGGCTGAAAAGCTCACTGCTACACAAAGTAAAAGATCTTCAGGGTATCTGATCCTATTCTTTGATAACTTCACTGATTGATACAAAATAATGCTTAGTAGATATCTGCTGAATGAATACCGAAAGATGTAAAAACTGAGTAAAATCTGAACAGATTCATAACAAGAATAGATGGCAGTAGAATGGCAATATGGGTGACCTGGCTGGTCTGAGAAGGCAACTGAAGAGTGTGCTGGGAAAAGACAGAAAGGATGAAGTATTAACCTTATACTACCCTCTCATATACTACAGTAAGGTGGTAATCTAAATAACAGCAGAAATTGGAATGAGTTCACAACTACATAGTATTTCAAAAATCTTAACTTATCTAAGAATTCTTAAGATATTTACAAAAACAACACACTACCTGGGAAAAACACAAACAAAATAAAAAGGAAGTTAACAAGAATAACAAAAACCATATTGTTTTCATTGTTAAGGATTTCTGTACCCTACAGTGGACACAAAGTGAAACAGGACCATATTATTAGAATTTGTATTCCGCTTTGTTCATGTCTTTAAGAGTTATTCATCAGCTGCATAAAGAGTGATATGTAGAGCAAAAAATCAACTTTTTTGGCAAATTTTGCTAAAATGTAATTATTTTATTTAAAGAGAATAAGCAGTGGTGTATGAGTATTCCTAAACATTTATTCACTAAGAAGTTGGAATGCTCAGAGAAAATGAACAATTCAGGTCCCTTAAAGGTTAAGTTTCTTCATCTTGTACACTTTACTGGTCACATTAAAAAAACAATGTCCTCCTTTAACAGTTTACTGACAGTCTACAATGTGTGGAAAAGCCAAGAGGTAATAAAATGAATGAATGATGGAAGGAAGAATCTATGCATTTGTCTTCATAAAATAAATTCTATCAGGCAAATTCACTACACAGCAGTTAAAGAAATGCTAGAGGTTCTGTAAAGGGGAGAAAAACGATGTAAAGGATGATGATACCTTCAGGCTGAGGAAAGAGAAATGAGACAGGATTAAGAAGCAGTTAATTCATAACAAGATAATATGTTTTCATATGAATTATTAAAAGTAACACTATAGCTCTTCCTTAAAATGTTTGATCCCTGACTTTTTTTTATTAATACTCCAGAGAGAAAAATGATTTTGTAAGACATTTGTAAAAACACTATGTAACTTTCAAGAATGAATAGTTCTCTAAGTTCATATGCACAAAAATGCCTATTAATTATTTTTAACTAGATAAAAAAAATTGTAACAGCTCACAAACCCTTATCTGAAATATTTGGGGCTAAATGTATTTTAGAATTCTGAATGTACTGGATTTTAGAAAGGTGGTAACTTAGGTGCAGTATGTAAAGCCCCCTAGTAGGGTCTGATATTGCACCCTGTAAACAAATTAATATTTTTCCAGCAAAACTTACGAATACTCATACTTAATGGGATAAAGGCCATATACAGCCTTCCATTAGTTATAGTCAGGTTTGGCTACCAAGTAAGATGTGGTGCCAAACTTACCGAAAACTTTTAGTTTTCATAGCTTTCTGATTTTCAGAATTAAGATAAGGGATTGTGGCCCTGTACTGCAATAACAGAAGGTAAATTTATTGTTAAACTTATGTTACAAGCTCTTAAACTTAAAATAAAAAAGACAGTACCAAGTGTGTAGAGAATTTAAACATGTTTTATTGTCAGAGGATGTCATTTGAGGAAACTCCCAGTCTCATTACATAGCTCCCACAAAATCTTTACATAAAAACTGACCTCTTGGCAACAAGTTTCTGGAGAAAACATATCACATTCCAAATCTGCATTTTCTTTTAAGTATGAATTACCGTTTATACTGAACTATAAAGTAATTCGTGGGTTTCCCTCATCACATCTTACATAATTTCACCCACAATATAGAAAAAAGGTTTATACTATTAGACAGTAGGACTAACAAAGTTGAGAAAACCACCTAAATATGCACTAACCGGTTAGGGCCCCGGGTCCAGCTATCTATCATAAAGGACAAAAATCACGTCTACCTAAGGCGGGGTCTCCGTAGCCTCCCAGGCAGTGGTCATTAGACCGAGAAGACCGAGTCCCAACTACAGAAAAGGAAACTCGAACTCCCAGATGTCCCCGCGCGGAGGCGGGGCGGAGGTTTGCCAGGCCCCCAAACGCCGAGGCCCGAGCTCGCGAAGGGTGGCGGGAACTGGAAGAACAGCCGTCCGCAGTCCTCCCTCATACCCTTGCCCCCACGACCCGGCCCCTTCTCAAGCCCTCTGCACGGTACCTGTCCCCAGGACTCTCTGTTCTTTTTCCCGCTGCAGCAGGGACGGTACTACCGGGTCTCAGATGGCAGCGCGGGGGCGACAACCCCGGGGCTGGGGATGAGGGGAAACCTGGCCTAGCAAGCATGTAGCGCCTTGTCATGTCGGCGCCGCTGGCGACGGCGGCATAAGCTGTGACTGGAGAAGCTGGTTGCGTGGTTGCCGTCTTGCTGCTGGGACTCGGGGAAGCTGTGGGAGCAGAGGTGGGCGGCACCCCCTTCTCTCTTCATGGCGGTTCTCTCTCTTCGGAAGTGACTCCTAAGTGAGCGGGAAGGAACCTGAGGACCACCAGGGGGCGGGCCCTACTTGAAGAATAGGGTTCTGATTGGCTGGTACTGCGGTCGTTCCAGTAGTGGCGCAATAGAAAGCTGCAGCCTCTCAGGAGAAGGAGGGGTTTCGGGGAGGGGGAGGGGAGAAGAAAAACTGGCCCACCGTCACGTGCGCGCGCAGGAGGCGGGGCGCGCTGCGGAGTCCTGTTCGCGTCAGTCCAGGCGGGCACGCGGGGGCGGGAAGGTGCGGGTCGTAGTGGGCGCTGCGGCAGCCGGCGAAACCCGCCGGGTTGGAAGCGAGGGGCAACGTTTGCGAAAAGCAAATGCAAGCGGCAGCTGCCCTTGGTTGAGGATGGCTAGCCGTTTGGCTCTCTGTGTCATACTGTTGTGTGTCAGAAATCCCCAGCTATTCATTACATGTTTGTAGCATCTTAGGTCAAAGTGCACTAATGCTGTCACCATTTCCTCTGTATTCTACACAGCCGGGCCTGAAGACTTGTCCATTCTGTAAGGGTTTTTCTTTTTCACGGAGGAAAAAAATCCCATGAAATAAAGACTTTTTATTGTACAAAAACCTTTTGTTTCTAAGCTGCTAAAAGAAGTGCATGAAGTCTCAGCAGCCAGATTCCTTGCAGATTTTTTAAAAAATCCTCACCAGAGGATACTTTTTATTGATGAGAAAGAGGGAAAGAAACACTGATGTGAGAGAGAAACATGGATAGATTATCTCCCTACGCAGCTGCCCCAGGGGGAGAGAACACCTGCCCGCCATCCTTGGAGATTTTTGAAGGGAACGTGGCGTCAAGTTTCAATTACCCATGTTAAGTGTGGACAGCATAGATTAGTGAAAGCCGCCAGCAGTCTCCAGTCCCCCCTTGTAAATGGCCTGTACTCTGGAGACTGTGAGCTGGAGATTTCCTTTACAAACTGAGAGATTGATTAGAGTATCTGAACCTCAGTTTCCACACCTATGAAATGGATGTTCTACTTTTCTGGGTAACTGTAAACCATAAACTAGATAAGCAATGTAAACTGTACAGTTCAGAGTCTTTCATGTAGTAAGTGCTGAGCAAATTCGAGTTCCTTTGTTCTTTTTTAAAGAAGATTTATTTTTAGAGAGAGGGGAAGGGAGGGAGAAAGAGAGGGAGAGAAACATCAGTGCGTGGTTGCCTCTTGTGTACTCCCAAGTGGGGACCTGGCCCACAACCCAGGCGTGTGCCCTGACTGGGAATCGAACCCATGACCCTTTGATTCTCAGGCTGGCACTCAATCCATTGAGTCACACCAGCCAGGGCATTCTTTAGACAGACTTTAATTTTGGAAGATTTTTATAAAATCTTCCAAAGATAGGTCACATACTGTTAAAATTATTAACCAAAATATCAATCTTAAGGATGTTCAACCTTTAATTGTCAGTCCTATTCAATTAGTTGGATGGAATAAATTCTTAAATGACACAAAAGAATTTAGACAGGTCTTAGGTTTATTGTGCTGAGATTTAACTGCTTTCGTAGCTGAACATGCCTGACTGACCTGAAGTTCACTGCCTTCCTTTCCAGTTAGCTCTCAAGAGGAAAAATTAATTAGGAATAAGGTGGGAAAGTAGAAGATAGAAGATAAACAGTGAGTGTACAGGGCTTGCATTCATCCAAAAAGCACATATACACAGCTATGTATGTACTAGGTAGTAGTGATGCAAGAAAGGAAATACTAACAGGAGGGGCATTTCTCCTAATTGAGAAGTTACTATACCTAGCATTTTTCCTATCATAATAAAGAACATATTAGATGCTCAAAATGTGTAAATGAATAATGACATGTGTTGTTTACTAAGGGCTTTTTACATGTGTTATAACCTATCTCTTGTATTAGTGCTTTCCGTTGGATGTTTCTATGGTGGTAAATTCCTGCTTCTATAACAGCACCTCTACAAAACATTTAATCTGATTTGTTTCATTGCATGCTCAGGTCATAAAAAGGGTAATGCATAAGAACACATTCTACATGATCAATTAGTTGCTTTTCTTTGGATTATAGTATTTGAATCATCCAGCCTCCAAGGTATCACTTTAAAGTCTATACTCATGCTACCAAACAATAGTTTTCACATTTTCTTAATCTGAGCAACAGATTATGGAGTTAAGTGAGGCAAGAAATCCCTTGATCAATAAATGGAGATGGAATCATAATGAAAACACAATTAAAGAAATCTCTTCTTAACAGGGAAGTCGTTATCTAAATCCGCAATAAGCATCAAGGCTCTTCTTTGTTTAAGCTGTGTTTGAAAGTGATACAATTTGAGTTGCAGGGTGATACATGCTCAACATTCTAACCAGAACTGCTGGGAATCTAAGGCTTCCCTCTCTCCCCCGACCCCCAAATAGTGTTAGACAATCTATTTTGTGTTTATATAGCTTCTCCACTTTGTGTATATGTGTATACACTGTGTGTGCATGCGTACGCAAACACAGTTACTACAAGGGCTCTTTGCACATTAATTTGTAGTGGGCCGGAAAGAGATGGCCAGGAAGCTGTACCCTATGTGAAAGAAGTTACAGAGCTCAGGCATTTGCACTTGAGGAGACAAGGGGAGAGAAAACTTGGGGTAGGGCTAGGAGGAGAGGGTGATGAATAAAGTAGACAAGACTGAATGAGAGACTTAAGACAAAACTTCAGCCAGGATTGAAAAAATAATTTGGAGAAATTAGGCCAGATGACCGTAAAAGGCTAGTTTGAGAAGATTTGGGGGCATGGGGATGACAGAGCAAAGACCACAGGAATTGACTGACTTCTGTGCACGAAGCTTCTATGGAGTAAACAGCTCAGTTTATCACCCTGTTCAAGACAACAGAAGGAGCTCTGACTTTGGCCTTGATGGGAAGGGATGGGGCAAGAGCAGAAACAATGTTGCATGAAAAAGAGATCAAGGGTGCTGAGAGCCGCAAGCCCACCGTGGGAGTCCTGAGGAGTGGAGGTATAGCTGACGCCAGAGATCCCAAGCAGTCACAGAGAGAAAACAGCTTGGGCAGATTGTCTCACACAGTCCTTATCCGGCAGCCAGGGAGTAGTAGAACCAAAGTTAGGTTACAAAGAACGTCACTGAAAAGCAAGGAACTCCAAATGTAACTTCTAATTTTACAATAATGACATATTTTTGCTCTAAGATTGCTACACTCTGGAATAAACTCCAAGGCTCTTGCAGTGTGGGCCAGGGCAGGCTGAGAGATAAAGGTGGGTTTGCCGCAGAGCTGCCTGCTGCTGGTCAACAGAATGTGTGGAGGGGAGGGTAGAGGTCACTGGGGAGGGGGATAAGGAACAGACTCAGAGAAACAGGAAATAATTAACTTGAGAGCCTGACAGAGAAAGACCACATGACGATCTGAAGAAGGGAAGGCAGCTCCAGCATCTGAAGATCTACACAAACCACTTTGCAAATATGTGCTGAACTCAAAACTGCCTAAGTGCATGGGAAAAGCCCTGGCTTGCTTTTAAAGAGCTGCCGGGGAAAAGTCAAATGTAATATCATGTCATATCATGTAACCTAAACTTCCTGGGAGTAATTAGTAAAATTCTGCAAAAGCAGACCTGACATTTGGGGAAGTAGGTTTCTCGAGAGTGCATTGTGGCATGGTGCAAGATCGTGTTTCCCACCCTTAAGAACATGAGTAATGCGTGTGGGTTTTTGACATACCTATTTCCTATACTATTATTTATGTAATGTTTGTCTTTAAATCACTTTCTAAAACTTAAAAACATTTACTTCAGAATAAAACTTAAAATCATTTCCGTAAGTGGAAAATCCTATCACTTGGAAAGTGATAACTTTCCACATGGAAGCTAACTGTAAAAACCAATAGCTAAACAACAAGTAGAAAAAAAATATATCCCCATGTTTCTTCTAGAGTCATCTTGTTTACTAGTGGTGGTAGGCATCGATATCATTCACATGTCTGAAATAAGACTCTGGGAAATATTGGTTGTAGGGACTCCAACCTGTAATCAGGTGTTTTTCAGACCTGGTTAGCAACCTGCTAGAGGGTTTTGAAATTGATGTAATGGGTCACAGACACATCAGAAAAAAAACAAAACAAAACAGAATATCAGTGCACTGCACTGCACAACACGTATGTGTTGTTTTGCAAAACTTACTTCTTCAGTTGTATGTATATTTTATATGGCAGTGATGTAAAAAGTATTTCTGTGGCCCCAACTGTAGGCAGTGGTGGAAACATTTGAAAGTTGTCGCTATACCCTGTATTTGTATTTCATGCTTCTGTGTATTGGTGGCACTGAACAGCAGAAGCTGCTTCAAGGACAACAAGATGGGCTTCCTTTGGCCACTCCTGCTGGTGGGGAGGATGGGGGCGGGTACATAACTGGGGCTCTCTTTGTGCCCTTTTAAGGCTATACTCCCGGGGGTGGGGAGGGTCTTGTGGAGGGAGGCAGATGAAGAAGCTTGCTGTTACCTTTCCTGTGCTGTAAATAGCTTCAAGATGGGGAGAAGTGGCTAAGGTGGCCCTATCGGGCCCTGTCTTGTCCTCAGTAATCTAGGGGCTTCGGATGAGAAATGGGAGAGAAGGAGCAATGGTGCAAAAGATGAAGAAAGATCTATATCCCTTATTCAACCTGCCCCTCACATTAAACCCCGTCATCCTGGAATTGGAAACAATCTCTAGGCGATATTAAATTCGATCTCATACCTTTACAATGCTCCTTCCGGAATTCAACACACCTGTCATTGCCCACAGGGACTTTCTTCATCTGGCTCTGATCTGCCTCTTCAGAGTCGTTACCTATCATCACTGTCCTTAAGTTGTAACCTTCTACAACACCAAAATACTGAACCCTTTATGCCATGCATGGTAAGATGGACTCCTGAAGATGTTCTTCTTTTAGCTCCCAAAGGTTTTGTAAAGGTGATGGTCACCATTTAAAAAGATCAAGAGATTTCTCAGAAAATTCAAAATTTTTG